GGGTTTCTATGAACTGCTGTAGAAAATTGATCACCTACAAAGAGGAATCGTGGGAACGTCTGTTTTATTTATAGGAACATGGAGGCACTAAGTTGGTAATGGGCATATGAAGTGGGATGTAAGAGACAAGTCCTGTTGGATGTGACTTTGCCTGTTGAGTCCGATATTGTCTCCAGGTACAGTACCAGGATTGAGGTGAATTGCAGGATACTCAACTAATTAAAAAGTATTGTTGGGTATTTGAAAATAAACACATACTTGTGTCAGAATGACAGTTGCTAATGAAAATTGAGATCAGAGTAACAATTATAAAATGCATGATAATAGACAACTGCATCTTTGTTGTTTCCAATACATACATGTCTAGCTATTTATATTTAGTGGTCCAGAGTTTGTGAAAACCTAAATTAGATTTTATATAACATATAATCACATTAATATGCTAGACAAGGCTGTTTCTATTATTAAAAAAAGTGTTTCCTTGAAAAATTAATTCAACTCACTGGTTAGTTATAATATTGTGTCTAATAAATACTAGTTGAAAAGAATAGCTTTAACCTCCAAAGAAATAATTTAGATGAGGAAGATAATATGAAGTAGAGTTTAACAGAGTTTGTCATTTATATCATGATACATAGAAGGAGGGAGAGATACAAAAGATGTGAAAGCTATCTTCAAAATAGAGCTTTAAATGTCAAGGGAAGGGGCTGGAGAGATAGCACAGCGGGTAGGGCGTTTGCCTTGCACACAGCCAACCCAGCTTCACATTCCCAGCATCCCATATGGTCCCCTGAGCACCGCCAGGAGTAACTCCTGAGTGCAGACCCAGGAGTAACCCCTGTGCATCTCCAGGTGTGACCCAAAAAGCAAATAAATAGATAAATAAATGTCAAGGGAAAAAAATTTTAAGATTTATTATTAGGATTTATTATAATTTATTATTAAAAGCTGAGACACTAACAAAATTTCATAATTCTGCATTTCTCTATACTAGAGACAATGGGCTGAGGTCAGCTTATAAGAGACATATAGAGTGAAAGATGAAAAGGAAATCAGAGCAATCAGGTAATAAAACAATTATAGACATCTTTTAGAAGAGAGAGGGAGATAGCACAGAAGGAACCAATATGATGTCATAAAGAGCGAGGATGCCATGTCCCACAGAACCAAGTTCTAAGGCATAGATACCTGCTCTGAGTCAGACCCACCCCAAAAGACTCCAGGAACAAAGGCAGGAAAAAAAACAAAAGAAAGTGAAAAGAAATAAACGGAGTGAAAATAAATATGCAGAGAATCGAGAAAGCAATTGTCATATATTTTTCAAATGTGGAAGATATCTACAAATTTGGGCTAGTATCAAATGCTCCTGCATTTCCAAGACAGTGTCCTTGCTCTCAAGGGTGTCTCATCACAGAGTTAATCAGTGACCAACCTCAGTGAAAACCCAGAGTTTTGGGTTGAGGGGCCAAGGGTAACTGGGGGAAAGGTGGCAGACAACGTGGCCCTTTATAAATTGCTCCCAATGTAACTCCAGAACCAGATGACTTAATACAATTAGTTAAACTTTACCTAGAATAATTTTAGGAAGAAACAAATTGTGGTCCAAAAAATTAGATTATTTCTTTTTAATTTGACATTCTAAGAATCTAATTGTCATATAAAGTAGTCGAAGGGATGTACATGATAACCATTCAGTACCTGTATTGAAAACCATGATGCCTAAAAGGAAAAAGAGAGAGACAGAGGGAGCAAGAGAGAAGTGCTTGCTACAGACATACAGACACAAGCTGGACAAGCTGGGCGAACGGGGGGGTGGGGAGGCAGCAAAAGGAGAAAAGGAATTGGTGTTGGGTAATGTACACTGGTGGAAGGAAGGGTTTTGAAACATTTATGACTGAGCAACTTTGCAACCATGTATCTCACAGTGATTTAATTAAAAAGGCGGAGATTTTAAATTATTATGTTTCTCTCAATCTAAAAATAAAATCAAACTTTTGTCATGGGAAAAAAGAAACGTGATTTTCCAATGGCTCAGACCATTAAAGTACACTGATTTTACTTCGAAATTTCCATCTAATAATAAAGTATTAAAGATTATAATGTTCAGATGTGGATGAAAAATAGGAACTTCACTTAGTTTTCTGTCATAAACAATTGTAATAAAATTGCACAAAGAAAATTGAGGATACATAAAACAATTCATAATACTTAAGAACAAAAATCACAATACTGTGATTCTTGCAGAAATAAAAAGAGTGAGTTTTATTTGTATCCCCTATCTCTTTGTGGCAGAGGATAAAGAAGTCAGAAAGTGATATTGAATCTTTTTCTATACTAGTGACTCTAATTTTCAGGGTCAAGTACTAGAAATGAGAGAAATGCTCATGAAGGATCCTTGGTAAATTGTGTAGAAAATATCTTTGATTCAGATGAGTAGCACTGTAGCACTGTAGCACTGTCCTCCCGTTGTTCATCAATTTTCTCGAGCGGGCACTAGTAACTCTCCATTGTGAGACTTGTTTGTAGAATAACATTGCCACAGGGAGTTCAGGTTTATCGGGTTACACCCATCACAGTGCTCCCGAGTCACTCCCATTCCTCTATTTATCTGTAAACTCTTCTCTGTGCTCTCCTCCCCAGCCAGTTAATCACCTTTTCTCCCTAATCAGATTCTGTTAGCTTGTAAGATCAGATCCTTCGAAGGACACTGAACTTGTATTATAAGTTATGTCCTTGGCATAGTTTACCTTAAAGCAATGTCCTTTCTGTATGGACACAGAAAGACAGTTAATATTATGCTTTGTAACTTGGGAGTTGATTGACTCCAATAATATTCACTCCTGGGCATCTGCTTGCTTGACTCAGTTGCCCTTAGTTCCTAGCACCCCAAGCAGGGTCCCGACGAGGGACTGAATGGACCAAGGGCAAGCTGTGAACTACCCTGGCATTGAAATGGGCCAGGTCAAAGCACCACGATACTCAACTATAAGTTGAGGGCATGATCATGAACAAATGCTGTCATGATCCAAAAGTAAGTAACTATGAGACTAGGACCCAGCTGGGACTAGGAAGACGAACCTTGCCTGAGGACTGTTTTATATATATATATATATATATATATATATATATATATATATATCACGATCATCTGTTGTTCGTCGATTGCCTCGAGCAGGCACCAGTAATGTCTCCTTCATCCTAGCCCTGAGATTCTAAAAAGTGCCACATTCAAGGCTCTTTCAGGGTTAGGAGAATGAGACCCATCATTGTTACTGGTATTTGGCATATTGGGTACGCCACGGGCTGGAGCGATAGCACAGAGGGTAGGGCGTTTGCCTTGCACACAACCAACATGGCCGACCCGAATTCGATTCCTCTGCCCCTCTTGGAGAGCCCGGCAAGCTACCGAGAGTATCTCGCCCACACGACAGAGCCTGACAAGCTACCCGTGATGTATTCAATATGCCAAACACAGTAACAATAAGTCTCACGATGGAGAAGTTACTGGGCCCACTCGAGCAAATTGATGAACAACGGGAGGATCATGACCATGACCGTGACCGGCTACGCCACGGGGAGTTTGCCAGACTCTGCTGTGTGGGCAGCTTACATTCGGTAACTTGACCCAATCTGAGTAGGCTTAGAGTTCTCAGCCCCGGGACCCATATGCCTTTGTTCCTCTGCCGTTACCTTCATGCATGTGGAGAGTGGTCTCAGCATTGCTTGTGGCTGGTTCCGGAGGTCTTCAGCTGCAGGGGTTCAGCTCAGGGTGGGGAGGGAAACTCAACTCGCCCCCCTCCAAGGGGCCCCGGGGAGGACAGCCAGGCACAGGGGCAGGAGGCTCTGTGCTGTTCTCTTCCGGGAGCTGGGTTTTATAGTCTCTGGGTCTTGGCGGTTGAGATTACACAGCACCTGGGGACCAGTTGGTGGGTGTGACACCTGCCTACTGGAAGATGGAGGATCTGGGTGGAGGATGCTCAGCCCCAATCCAAGCAGGCTTGGAGATCTCAGCCCCAGGACGGGCATGCCTTTGTGTTCCTCTACTGTTACCTTCATGCATGTGGAGAGTGGTCTCAGCATGGGTGTGATATATATATCAGAATATATAGTGAGATGTCCTCAGGAAGAGCCAAACTGTAAGTTTATCTCTTACTGTGCTCATACAGAATGACATTGCTAGAAATATTAGAAGTAGACTTACTACAACTATTTAAGTAGATTACTAGCTGAGGAAAGAATACACCCTTGTTGGGACCCCACCCTTGAGCAGATCTCCTAGTAATCTGGAATAAATCTCTTTAGATGAAATTTATTCCTTGAGTTAATCTCCTCGAGGAGTAGTCTTACCTCTCTTTGCTGATTTGTTAATGTTCAACCCACCTTTGTGTCACCACCCTACGTGATTGCTATATAAACTAAGACTAAGCTCAAAGGGGGCTTGGGCTCAAGAGAGCAGAGACTGAGGCTCAAGCTGAGGCGCGGGCTCGGGCTCCAGAGGGCAGAATCAGAGGCAAGAGTGAAGATTGGAATAAACTACAATTGATACCGACCAGCCCTCGTTCATTGCTTCGCCTGCCGTTGCCATCAACCTCCCTGGGGTGGGGAAAATGACGTGAGACTACCGAACGTGGGCGGCGGGAGAGATAGAGCGCCACCGGACCTTCTGAAAACACACAGTTGTTAGTATTTTTGGCATATCCAACACGTCATGGGGAACTTGCCAGGCTTTACTGTGGGGGCGGAATCCTTTCGGTAGCTTGCCGGGCTCTGGGGGTTGAGGGGCGGGGGGGGAGAGGAATCAAACCCAGGTCGCAGCGTGCAAGTCAAAGGCCCTACCCGCTATGCTATCGCTCTGGCCCATGTTATCATGAAACCTGGTCAATCCTTGTAGAAAGCAGTAAAACCTTTGTTAATTAAACAGATATTCGGGAGTTGCATATAGTTCTTGACAGCATTGGATTTTTTGTAAGTTAGAGCAGAGAGACTTTGCTGAACACTTTTTTATGGGGCAAAAACTTTCGAAATGTTATGCCTGAGTAGAAGGGCAATTTTAGGCTAGGCTTAGATTAAGACAACTTTGTAACCTGATCAACAAAGCCTTTAAATAAATCTTGGTGCACTATTAAAAAATATGATTTCATATAAATGAACATAAGAGGTGATAGAAATAAAAATGAATTATAATTAACAAAAACATTATTCATAGTTATTTCTAAATGCCCTTACATTTTAATTATTTGTACATTAATTGAGTATGATGAACTTTTAAATAATACTTGTTTACCCTGCACATTTACAAATGATGGGAAGAAGTTTTACAAACATCAATCACCACAAAAAGGATAGAAAAATATTTTTCTAGCAATCCTTACATTTATAGCTGTTGCTCTATACATCCACATACTAACACCTACATGAAAGAGGCACCTATACAAAAGAAAAGTTTCTATATAAAATCAACTATGTACTATAATAAAACACATAATAGAATATGTAAAGGATCAATAATTCACATACATTCATTATTTTTTAATCTAAGTTTGTTTCAGCAAAATTATAACATCTTTTCCATACTAGAGCTAAATTCTTAATTTTTTTCCTCCTTTTTTTTTTTTTTTTTACTTTTGGGTCACACCGGTGGTGCTCAGGGTTTACTCCTGGCTCTGCACTCAGGAATTACTCCTGGTGATGCTCGGAGGACCATATGGGATGCTGGGGATATTACCTGGGTCGGCCGCATGCAAGGCAAATGCCCTACCCGCTGTACTATAGCTCCGGCCCCTATTTTGTTCCTCCTTTTACTGGACCAACACTGAAAACTAGAACTGAAGGAGATCATTGCAATTTCTTAGGTCCCTGCCCTAAGCGTGGAGGATCCTTCTCAAACACTCTTCCATACAAGGCCATAACCAAGATAGGCAAAGGGCTTCCACTTCGGCTCTTCAGACGTCCATCTCTTAAAATCTGATTAAAAAAAGAAAATCAAAGCATTAATTCTAATGTAGAACTTGGTTTCTGGCGTAGAAGCCATCTCTGACAACCTCACTCTAAAAGTAGCCTAACATGGCATGAGGGAGTACAGCAGTTAAAGCATGTGCTTGTCATGAGGCCAATCCCAACATCATAAGGCATCCTGAATATCACCTGGGGGTTGTACAGCTGTTTCTGGCCCTGAAAATCAACTGGGGGTAGCCCTGTTGGCCCTTGGTAATACAAGGCCCAAGCCTCACTAAGTCCTCCCTTGGGCAATAGCATTGGTACTGGTCCAGTTGCCAAGAACCATTGTGAGTGGCTTTTGGCCCCTGAGCACAGCTTGAGAGGATGAAATATTAATTTTAAGAATATGGGGACTGGAGCAATAGCATAGCAGGTAGGGCATTTGCCTTGCACACAGCTGACTCGGGTTCAATTCCCAGCATCCCATCTGGTCCCTCGAGCACTGCCAGGAGTAAGTCCTGCGTGCATGAGCCAGGAGTAACCCCTGTGCATCACCGGGTGTGACCCAAAAAGCAAAAATAATAATAATAATAATAAAATAATAATATAATAAAATTACATGTAAGATTCAAAAGCATAAAGGATTTTGTGTCAGAAGATACATTATTTCAGATATAAAGGCCTAATTACAGAAGAGCATGGGGGAAATTACAGCAAAGAAACTGGCAGAAGTGGCTAAATGGAATAATGTATAAAGATGACTTGTCATCAATAAACACTCGACATTACAATCACTCTCATTCTAACAACTTCAGATGACAGTGCACCAACAGAGAAGCTGCATATTCAGTATTAAACATGTTTGACTGGACCTTCTACACCATGCAAATGAAGAGAACATCTGTTGCTACTATCTGAAACCATTATCATTTTAATCTTTCCATCAATTTAATGTTGCTGCAGTATCAGAGTCCTATAGAAAGATGAACCACGTATTTTCCATCATAGTCTAAAACGATCTAGAACTGCAAATTGTCTTTCCTGTCATAGTTTCAGATGTCTTTGTGTTTTCTGGGTTTGGTTTGGTTTTGGTTTTTGGTTTGTTTTTTGTTTTAGGGATACACCAGGCTGTGTGCAGCACTTTCTCCTCCTGGCAGTGCTCACAGAACCCTTTGTGGTACTAGGAATGAAAGCTCTGCTGCATGCACTGCAATTACCCTACTCACTGTATTACCTTGGCCCTGATATCCACATGTCTTTAAAGGATTGTTCATAGATTATGAACAAAAACACTGCAATAGTGTTTTTGTAATGGATTTCAAGCATATTCATCACATTTGTTCAAAGATATTTATCTTCCAGAAAGCCTCTTACCTCGTAGTATCCTTCCGGGGCAAGCTGACTCCCACTGAGAACGATCTGTGGGAAAACATAACGGGTTCCAAATGTGCCACTGAGGGAGAATTCTTCAAACTTGGTAAAAGCTGACCCCACAGGCTCCCCACACGTCCTCAGGTCTGTGGTTTGACATTTCAGCAGTGTACATATCTGTATAGGAAAAGGACATTTGAAACTATTTTCTCTGCTGTACAATTAGAAGAATATGTGAAAGTGGTCTTCCAGCACTTCTCAAAATGTAGTTCCTAACCTATTAGTGAGTCCTAAGGTCAATTTATTGGATCAAGATTAGCTCTTTTTTTTTTTTTAACTTTTTTTGAGTCACAAGTGTCAATACTCAGGTTACTTCTGCTAGTGCACTCAGGAATTACTCCTGGTGGTGCTTGGGAGACCATATGGGATACTGGGTACCGAACCCAGATTGACCTTGTACAAGGCAAATGCCCTACCCACTGTATTTTATTCCAGCCCCAGATCTTCATTTTTAAATGGAGCAAAATTGGACAAACTAGAGTATTAAATTTGCACTAAATGAATTACACAGAATCACAACACATAATTATGCTATTTCTGATTCTAATATCAACTATTCGAAGCATACTTTAAAAAAAATCTCTTTTAACTGGGTTATGTAACTGCACTGCTCTGAATTCTACAGTGGCTTGGATTACTTATTTCAGGTTTAAGTCAGACAATTTGAAAAAACATTGCTCTAAAAGTAATCTGACTAAAAACGAGCATGCATAGAAGTTGAAACTTTTTTCTTTTTATTATTTGACCTGCTGGGAACAAAGTAATTTGCTCTGTGTGTGTTTACTTAAAAGTCAAGAGAACAAATTCTGTTCTTGCTAAGTCTGAACAGATGAAGTGTTCTGGAGGCAATATCAGAGAATTGTGTAACTTTAAAACAAATAACTGAATCCAGCACAACTTTTAATGAAACACAGTGATGACTTAGAGGAAGCACCAATAAAAACAGTCATTTTAGCATATATGAGCACTTTTACCTGTAAGTAATACTGTCCTTCTACTGTGTGCAGCCCATCAAAAGCACCTAGAGCATACACTTCATCTGCTCGCTTCTCAGACATCTGGTAGGTTAGGTGACAGCATAAGTTTTTTTGGCAAACTGTGTAATTTCCTGTGTTTTGCTTAAGCTCCGTGAAGGTGAACTCATCAAAATAAATTGTTCCTGGAAAATCCGACTGTGCGGAGGAGAAAGGCCTGACACCTCTGGCATAAGCGCTCCAGTCAACTGGTGTGGGGTAAGCGGGATCACTCCGAGGCCTGGACTTCAGTTCAGAGAGCATCAGCTGGCCACTGTTTGTTTCCATATCATAGTGATAGACTTTGACCGCTTCTGGTGCGTAGATTCCACTTCCTATGAGCAATGTAAAGTAACACAGATACCCTGTTTCAAATGTTAGATGGACACAAATGGAATCATCCTGATGAGTGCTCGAATAACAATTTTTCTAAGCATAAGGGTTTTCAAAACAGCCAAGAATCAGTCTTGCTCTCAACATCCCCCAGGGGATGCTGGAGTGATCCCAGAGTGTAGTTCTAACTTCGGTGCAATTGGAGGAAACTCTGTTCACTTAAAGAAGGAAGATTTCCAAAGAAGTACTGAGTATTTTTTTTTCAGAAAAAGTAGACAGTAGGTCAAATAATTTGGGGACCCTTTCTGAAAGTGGATATCTTGTTACAGTGGTTTAAGTTTCATCAAAAGTTTGACTCTGTGTCCTTCATAAAGCACAATTTGTGCTAAAATTATCCTATAACTTGGTAAACTTGATTTTCTATTAACGTGGATATCCTTTCAGCCAGCTTCACAAAAACTTGGAAAATTCTTGCATGAGGTTTTAGCTCACCATTGAGTTAATCTGTTTTCATTTCTGACACTTTATCTGGATCAACAAATATCAGACTAGTGCAGCCTATGTGGGATTGCATTGATCTTGCATTTTCTTGACCCTGACACTATCAAAGATAACCTGTACAAACTTGATTAAGCCTGAATTGATTTAATCACATGAACATAATTCATTTCAGTATTGCTCGTAGATTCAGGCTTCTAGGATCCTTATATTTAATTTAAATTGGGAGGCAGTGTATGGGGCCACACTCATCTGTGCCCAGGGATAAATCCTGATGATGCTCAGGGGATCATATGTGGTGCTAAGGATTGAGCCCAGGTCAGCCTTGTATAAGGCAAGTGCCTTACCCACTGTACTATCCCTTTGGCCACCTGACTTTAAATTTTGAGATGATTTATTTTCTCTTTAACTGCTTTATGTAAAATTTTACAACACCTTCTTTACTCATACATGGGCAGAATGATCTTAAATAATGCTGACAGGAAAACCCATGGGAGTATTTATTTATGGCATAATTAAGAAATAATTTATTGTGATCATGGAGAGGATCACGCTAAGTGAAATGAGTCAGAAAGAGAAGGACAGACATAGAAGGACTGCACTCATTTGTGAAATAGAAAATAATATAATATGAGACTGACACCAAGGACAGTAGAGACAAGGGCCAGGAATATTGCTCCGTAGTTGGAAGCCTACCTCATGAGCTGGGGGAGAAGGCAGCTGGAATAGAGAAGGGATCACTAAGTCAAAGAATGGTTGGAGGGATTGTTCAGGATAGGAGATGTGTGTTGAAAGTAGATAAAGGACTAAACGTTATAGCCTCTCAGTATCTATATTGACAAAGCATAATGCCCAAAAGTGGAGAGAGAGTATGGGGGAAATTGTCTGCCATAGAGGCAGGGGGAGGGTTGGGATGGGGGAGGGATACTGGGGATATTGGTGGTGGAGAATATGCACTAGTGAAGGGATGGGTGTTCAATCATTGTATAACTGAAACTCAACTGAAAGGTGAAAGCTTTGTAAATGTATCTCATGGTAATTCAATAAAAAAAGAAAAGAAAATTGTTGGCCTTATACATTAAAAAGAAAAGGAAATAAATTATTAAGGAAAACTGACAATTAGATATCAGTGGAGACTTAGTGAGGTTGTCAGAGCCACTGGCATTCTGCCAGTGTGAGTTACCTGTCATGTGCATTCTGGTATTGTGGGTGTTTGCAGCAAGTAGGTTGACTCTCATAGCTCTGGCCCATGATGACTGAAAGGGTACAGCAGAGAGGAGTGGTAGCGTGTTGTACCATGCCAAGGGGAAAACAATACTGTCAACTTGAAACTCCTCCACCACTACCACAGCTGGGTGATGGGAAAAAATGTCGAAGCAAGTGAAGATGCCAAACTTCCCAAAGGGAGTGTCGAAAGTCACAACTTTTGAATCCTTGGGGAAATTGAATTGTATTTCAGGCTCAAAAAGATTGTACTGTTGACAAAATGCAAAGGGCAGAGAAGTGGGAGAGAGATTAATTAGAATGCTGCCAGATGAAAGGATTAACATACATGTTTTTCTTTCATGTTATGCATATTTAATACTGTTGCTCATAAATTCATGTAGATCAGACCTAGTATACCACTATGAAGTTTTTATAGAATAATAATAAAAAGTCATTGTTCTAAAATGAATGAATTTTATTATAAATAATATTGAAAGGTGAACATTCCTGTCATAAAATTTTGAATTTTGTAAATGTAAGGTTGCTTACAGCATATTGAGAGGGAATGTGTCCTTGAGACCATATCTTCTGTTACTCAGAGGCTACTCTGACTTGGTGCTCAGGGTTGCTTCTGGCACTGCCCAGCTGACCATATGATACTGGAGACCAAATCCAAGGCTCCTGCATGCAAAACTTGTCCGCTAGTACTTTGAGAAATTTCCCCTGACTACCAGTGCATTCTTTAAATAACAACACAGTCAGTGTAAAGTCTAATCTGTTAATAAGATAAAACATTAATTATATAATTATTTCTTAAGCCTGGTCATTGCTCCAAAAATTTGACTTAACTTGGGCTCAAGAGTACATCATATGCTTCGCTGAGGTTTTTTACTTTGCTAAAGGTATGCATTCAAATGTTGTGGCAACATCTTTCCCTTCCCAATTTTAATGAGAGTGCATTACTTTTCCACTTTCTGCTCCATTCTTCATCTTGCAGTGATCATCCCAACTAAGACAGGTGACCTAATTGGAATCAAGAAATGGCAAAGGCCTCCATGTGCCATCTTAATGCACCAACACCTCTGACCCAGAGATACAGAAGCAAGTCCTGGTAGATACCACAGCGCTGGAGATCTCTCCGGGCTCCATACCAAGCCAATTTCACTGGGGCACCCCCAATGGAGCAGGTGCACTCTCTCTGCCTACTCCAGATGGAATCCCAGCAACCAAGAGCTTCCACAAACAAGACCCTCCCCTGTGTAAACTCAAAAAAAAAAAAACCAGCAGCGGCGGTAGCGGTTTGTCTCTCCCACCGCCCGCGTTCGGTAGCCTCACACAGGTTCTCCCACCTCAAGAAGGTCGACAGCGATGGGCAGGCGAAGGAAGGAAATGAGAACCAGGCTGGCTGGTCTTAGTTGCAGTTTGTTCCAATCCTCTCTCCATTTATTCCTATCTCTTTCCTCTGCCTTCCCTCCCCCCTGCTACTTCATTCTCCTTCTCGATCCCCCTTCATCCTCCTTCTGACTCTGGAATCTGGATACTGATCCCCCAACCCACTCTTACAGTCTTGTTATATCCCAAAGCATGAGAGGTTGGGGTAACAATTACACATAGGTGTGGTCACAATCAATAGGGGTAGAGTTCTTTCCCTTGGGGAAAGCTGCTTCTAGGACAGATACTCTCTCAGCAGGATAACCCACCTAGAGCAGAATCCCCTGGGTGTGTTTCTCCTCTCCTTGTCCAACAAACATGTAAGCACACATAATATAAATCATTTTGTATGGATACAGTAAGAAATACCTTAAGCTTATAGAATTGCTCTCCTAGGGCCATCTCAATCTCAGACTACAGTGCTCAGGCCAGATTCCTAGCAGGGTCCTAGTCTCGTCGTTACTTTTGGATCATGACAGCATTTGTCTATGATCAAGCTCTTAACTTATAGTTAAGAATCGTGGCACTTTGGGGCTGGAGAGAGATAGCACAGCGGGTAGGGCACACAGCCAAGCCAGGTTCGATTCCCAGCATCCCATATGGTCCCCTGAGTACCGCCAAGAGTGATTTCTGAGTGCAGAGCCAGGAGTAACCCCTGTGCATCTCCGGGTGTGACCCAAAAAGCAAAAAAAAAAAAAAAAAAAAAAAAAAAAAAAAAATCGTGGCACTTTGGCCTGGCCCATTTCGATACCAGGGTAGCTCACCACTTGCCCTGAGTCCATTCAGTCCCTCGGGACCCTGCTTTTGGGTTGTTAGGAACCAAGGGCAACTGAGGCTTAAGTCAAGGAATCAGATGGCCAGGAGTGAATAATATTCAAAGCCAATTCAATCCTAAATTACAAAGCATAACATTAACGGTCTTCCTGTATCTATACAAAAAGGACATTGCTTTAAAGTAAATCATTCAAAAGACATAAGGAGAGGAGAAAAGGCAATATTAACTTACAATACAATTTCAGTGTCCTAGAAGGATCTGACCTTACAAATTAACAGAGTCTGATTAGGGGAAAAGCTAATTAACTGTTTGGGGAGGAGAGCATAGAAGTGGTTACAGATAAACACAATGGAATGGAAGTGCCTCAGGAGCACTGTAATAAACCTGAATTCCTTGTGACAAGGGAGAAAGGACAAAGCAATGTTATCCTACACTCCCCCACCCCCGGTATGTGGATTCCAGGACTAAATCTCCAAGCCCTGTGGCAACAGAAGACCCAGGCTGCCTCTCTCTGGGCCCCCAGCTGCCCAGTAGGCTGGCTGTGATGCCCACAATTTACCTCCGGGTGCCATTTTAGTGCACCAACAGCCCTGGCCCAGTGACTCCCAATTGAATCCCAAAATAGATTAGTGTCATACAGAGAGGTCTCTGGAATCCAACCATTTACAAATCTAGAAATTTACATTTATAATCACGACCGGGAGAGCTCTCATGATATTCAAAGTGAGCACCACGAGCTCCCTCGCAGATGCCCGTTGCTCTTTTTATCAAGCCAATTTAAATTGGGGTTTTCTATGAGCATACTTTCATAAAAAGGACTTAAAGAATTAATGACGAATGCTTAGTAGGAGTCAGATCTAACACTGATGTTAAATGATACAGAAAAGCAAACTTCTTTAAGAGAATTGTGAAATCTTTGTAAGACTTTTATTACATCTGGTTTACAGTCTTTCATATTCTAAGAATAACTCTAACTCAGAAAGTTTCTGTGATACTGAAGCAAATTAAATACCTTTTCTATGACTTTTTTTTTCTGTTTAGGGGCAAACACCCAACAGTGCTCAGGAGCTACTCCTGGTTCTGCACTAAGAATTACTTCTGGTGGTGTTTAGGAAACCACATGGAATGCGAGGGATCAAACCCCCAGGTTGGTTGCATGCAAGGCGAGTGCCTTTCCTGCTATACCTTCTCTCCATCCCCCTTTTCTGATGACTTTGGAATTAAGAATACTTTCCTAACAGTCTCCCACCAGCATTCAATAGACAAGTACACATTCATGTCACAAGCAAAAGGCATTAGCAATTTTAGACAAGACATAAGATCTCTCACCTTATGATAGCGTGCCACCAGCTTACCCTGAGAATCAAATACCACATTGGTGTTGTACTGGTAACGACCATCAGGGGGGCACTGAGAATCACTGGCGTTGCATGCTTTCTTGTCCCCAATATTTGCCACAACATAGATGGAGTTCTGCTTGGCCAGACAGCTGAGTCTTTCTTGAACTGGGGTATAGCCAAACCTAAATCAGTAGATATTTGCCTTTAATTTACAATGGTTTTATGATTTCTGAATTTGCTTTAACTGCCCTTTACCTGTAACAAAACAGATGTGCATTAACAACTAGCAGTTAAAATCTCACATGCAATGCAATCTCCAACTTAATAAAAGGTCATCTAATTTAATGTGCCAGACTCCAGATTGCAATGCAAGACCTAACAGTGAAAAGATGCCAGAAAAAGAAAAGAAGTAACACTTTCTTTTCTAAAATTCTCCTAGGAAGTCAAATGAAGGGTGTGAGCCCTAATAGACTCTTCATTAAAAAAACCTTCTCTATAGCCCAAGCCACAGTCATATTATGGAAGTAAATAAGAATAGGAAGTAAATAGTCTCCTGTAAATCAACATTATAGAGAACAAATGAAGCATTACTATTAGAGGATTTCATTTAAGAAGAACAAAAGGAACTAATCCAATCTGTTGACTGTTTCCTCTTCAGTCATTCATCAGTATTGCTCCCCTTCAAACAGAGAGGAATCCTGAGACCCAGAGATGGTTACAGGCTGTGAAATTGCTTTTTTGAGTAATGACAAATTCATCCACTTTGGAATGTTATCCTAGAAGGAAGAAGAGACTGAGGTAATAAAATTGGAGGAATAATAGCTGATTTCAAACATTGCACTAATTTAAAGGAGGATAAGAGATTAAGAAAAGATATCAGCGCATATGCTGTCCGAGACCATGGGCTGCTTGCGCCCACGAGGCAGAGCACATGTGGCGCCAAAGGACAAGTGGCGCCCTCATCTCCCCTCTTGAGATGTGTACTTTCATGTTTTTGTGTCAAATGCTGGAATGTGTGTAGAGGCTCTCTCCACCCTTGGAGAAGCCTGTGTTCTCTCTTGAATGTGTCACTCTCTCTCTCACTCTCTCCCCCTCCACACTTTAAAAATCCTCCAAATAAAATCTGTTTATTTCATTACTTGTTCTACCCCTGAAATTCCTTTCTGCAAGGCGAGACAAGAACCCAGTAATCCTGGGTCCCGGGTGGCAGAGGTGGTTGGGGAGAAACTGACTGTCTTTCTCCTTCCCACTTCACATAAGTCACCCGGAGGGTTCACCGACATCAGAAGGGACATAAAGTGAAGAAATCCATGAGGAAGGAGGTAATCTGTGGAAAATCTGCCATGGAGGTATGGTTCCTTGGAAATCTCTAGGAGGGAAGAAGGAGGAATGTCATAACCTCTGCGCGAATGTGTGTGTGTGCGTGAGCACCTTGATAGGTCCTCCTATCGAGTGTGATTTTGCAGCTCCATGACCTGGCACTCTTAAAGCCCCTCTAAAGTCACGGAGCTCGAGTGGGCTCCCTGTGATTCCATGGAGAACATAAGGTCAAGGGTGGCACTGGCATAGCTGCCAGTCACAACTCACAATGCTGAACCACTAAGGCCAGATTCTCCACCGGCCAGGCAAGCATCTGAGTGGTCTCTGCAAAGAGGCATCCCTCGTTTGTTTCGCGTCACCGTTCACTGTGGGTGGAATGGGAGAAAAACCCACTAGTAAGAAGGTTCTGGGAAACTTAGGGCAGGAGATCAAATCCTAGGCAGAAAATCCTTTCCCCATCCAGTCTCAGTCTAAGCAGATGAGATAGAGATCCGCTTGAGATCAATTCAAATGCTAATGAAGGCAGTCAGCAGACTTAGCTCTAGGCAAAGTGAGACTGAAAGAGAAAGAGAAAAAAAAGGATGGGCCTACTCTCAGCATCAAGAAAAAAAACCCCTTGAAACCAGGATTTCTCCCAGCCGTGAAGAAGGTATGGGATGGACTCCTTTCTGCCAGGATATCTCTGTGGAAAATGAGGCCCAAAGTCACATCCAGTTCAACCTGAAGACTCGAAGCCATCCAGTTCATCATGGGACATCTTATGGTCAGGCCTGGGTAACTTTAATGTGCCATATAAGATTAATGATGTTGTTGGTGTGTCTCCTGTCTTTAGCTGACCCCCAGGACTTTGCAGTAAATAATGGGGTATCCCAAATGGAGAGTTCTCTAATCTTGCTGTGTTTATGCAAAAAAAAAAAAAAAAAAAAAAAAAACAAGCCAGGTTTGTTAAGCCATCTGGCAAAGTTTTAAAATGAAGGTGGAAAGAAAAGAGAGAAAACCATGTTTCTGTAACTTTCTTTTTGTAAGAATCAGATTCTAATTCTACAGAGGTGATTGAATATATGTATTCTAATCTTGATCTAAAAGATACCCCCTTTTGGGAAATTTAGATAAAACTTGGTTTACTGACTGTAGGTAAACAGCCTAATCTATAAAAGAACTCAATGTTGTACATACATGCTGTCACTAGTCTGATCAGAGCATTGGAAGCCAGATCTTTACTAGGGGGAACCTCAGCTCAAAGTGCAGAATTAATTGCTTTCCCCCAGCCTGTGAATTGGCCAAAGTGTCAAGAAAGGGCATCTAAACTGGTTCAGAGTATTCACTTTTAGTTCTATGAACATTCATTTGGAGAGAACATAGATTTTAACAGCTCTTAATTTTTATTGCATAATGGGATTAATACCAGAGAATATTTCCTCTAAGTCAGAATGCTCTGCAGAAGAGGAACGATGGGCTTTGGAATGAGGTTTCCAAAAGGAAGTTGATGGATGGTTTATCCAACAAGGAAAATTGCTAACCCCTGGATCAATGCAGTGGAATATTATTAAAGGGTTATGCTTTAACACTAGTGAAAAATATCCTCTATGAGAAGGGACTGAACAGGAAGTAAGGTAGAAGTAAATCAGAACTGTGCTTTCTGTGCCATGAATGAACCAGTGGAAATCTTGAGCCTCCTCTCCTAACACCTGTTCAACATCAAGGAACTTAGAGGAGGATCGACAGCTTGACCTCATGCAAATGATCAAATGCTCATATGCTCAAGGTATAAATATTTGTTGGTTCTTATTGATAGCTTCAGTGTATGGGCAGAAGCTTTTCCAATCTGTACTGAGAAAGCCAGTGAATGGCTTGGTGTTTCTGTGTCCATTAGAAAAATCTGGACACAGGAAGTTATTTTTCTATCAACCAAACCTGTGGGTAGAGTTATTCCTTTGCATTATTTTAATGATAGATATGGGTATGGCATTATGTTGCTTTGGTTTCTGTTGCCTTAACTCTTGCTCTTTTTTTAAGACACCAAACAACTCTGTCCTTAGAAAGACCCTTTCTGGGTCAGAAAGGACCTTCTACTCCTCCAGGGTCTAACCATTTATTTCAAAGTGATATCCCTCAGTCTAACTGATCTGATCTTTTCTTTCAGATAACTTCAGGAGCCCACCAATTCATTGCCTGGGGCCCATTATAAACTAAGGTAGCATGAGATTTCCCCCTTGAATAGGCAGGGTCTGCGCCCCTCTCTCAGCAAGAAGCAGCTTCAGAAGATGGACCATTTTCCCCTTAAAGATTTAAGGTGGTGAAATCTCTAGGGGGGGAATATGATGTAGGCAGATAGACAGGGAAGGCCACCTCCCAAGGCAATAGCAAAGCCAGCCCTGCAGAAAATAGGAACTAAAGCTTGATAAGACCCTCACCTGGGGATGGAGCGATAGCACAGCGGGTAGGGCGTTTGCCTTGCACGCAGCTGACCCGGGTTTGATTCCGAGCATTCCATATGGTCCCCTGAGCACCGCCGTGAGTAATTCCTGAGTGCAGAGCCAGGAGTAACCCCTGTGCATCACCAGGTATGAAGCCAAAAAAAAAAAAAAAGACCCTCACCTGGCTGCAGCAACAGACCTAAAGAAGCTCCTGCAGGAACAAAAGGCCAGGAAAGAAATTTCAAAGAAGACCATCACCACTCCCAACCCCCCTGGTAATCTTCATAGCAACGGATTTTTTACCAAGGAAGAAACCCTATAAAGGCCAACTTGAACAAAGGAAGGGCAAGCATATGCTGCCCAAGCCCATGTGCTGCTTGTGCCCATGCAGCCGAGCACATGTGGTGGTTGAGCACTTGTGTCACCCACATCTCCCCTCTTGAGATGTGTACTTTCATGTTTTCATGTCTAATGTGGTCAGCTGCGTGCAAGGCAAATGCCCTACCTGCTGTGCTATCGCTCCATCCCCAGGTGAGGGTCTTATCAAGCTTTAGTTCTTATTTTCTGCAGGGCTGGCTTTTGCTATTGCCTTGGGAGGTGGCCTTCCCTGTCTACCTGCTTACATCATATTCCCCCCTAGAGATTTCACCACCTTAAATCTTTAAGGGGAAATTGGTATGTGTGTAGGGGCTCTCTCTGCCCTTGGAGAAGCCCATGTTCTCTCTTGAGTATGTTACTCTCTCTCACTCTCTCCCCCTCCACGCCTTGGAAATCCTCCAAATAAAACCTGATTATTAAAAAAAAAAAAAAGAAAAGATATATGTATATAAATGGACTGTTAGAATAAAGGCAGTAGAAAGGCCAAAATAATTTTTAAAGAAATAGAAACTGAAAAAAAATAGTAACTTGGGGTTGGAGCCATACCGAGGATAGGGTACTTGCCTTGCACATGGCCAACCTGGATTTGATGCCTCACATTCCATATAGTTCACGCTCTCCAGGGATGATCCCTGAGCCCAGAGCCAGGAGTTATCCCTGAGCACCACCATTGTGACCCCAAAACCAATCTTTTTGTAAAAAATTAAAAATAGTAACTAGAACATAGACAAAAGAAGAGAGTTCACTAGTCTTTGAAATTTTCTCATATAATATACGGCAAATAGGTATTCATAGTACCATCGAATTAGCAATATTCAAAGGAAATAGCTGTGTTTTAATTACTGTCATGTTAATTACATATTTTTCTACTATTATATTTTAAATGAAAATAGTTAAACCTGGAGTATAAGTTGAATGGGATAATGTATGTATTGTACCAGATATAGTTCCTGGGGATGAGTAGGTCCTTAATATATAAATAGCAGCAAATATGAATTTTAGAGCTATAGAATGGCAACTCATAAAACTGATGGATTTATTGTTTTGAGGTCTTTTAGCTGCTTCATACTCTCTTAGGAGCCCCTCATAATTGATGTTCAACTAATTTTTTACTAGAAAGGGCAGATTTATGACCATGGTTTCAGACTATAAAGTCCCCCTCCCCACCCTCCTCGCTTAGGGAAAGTGGGCCAACATGGTCAGTATTCATATTCATTAAAACCTTTGAATTAAAAAGTATTTTGGTTCATTTTGCTTTTTAACTAAATAATTAGAATAATTATACTTTAGTTATTGGCCCCTCATCAACAAAGTCCAAGGAAGCATGAGATCTGTTAGTATTCTAAATGATAGTATTTAAATACACCAAGGATGAGCACTTCTATCAGAGAAAAATACTACTAAGAAAGAAATGGTTTTCTTTACTAAAAGTACTAGTATACTGAATTTTTCACTTTTTATTTTTGCAGGGGTGGGGTGGAATTGTCTTGGGTGGTATTCGACTGTGCTCAGTACTTAATTCTGGGTACTTAATTCAGGACTTAATTCTGGTCTGTGCTCACTATGTTGGTGCTCAGAAACCATATGTGGTACAGAGGATTAAACCCATGTTAGTCACATGCAAGAAGCACCTTATTCACTGTACTATTATTCCAGTCCCAATTTTTTTAAATAACAAAATTGAAAACTTGTCATTTGAATAAGTTTTTGCAAGTTCCAACAACATGAAAATTTAATTAGCCATTTACTTTCCTTCTTAAAATGACACACTTGAAACTAATTTCAGACTTTTGGACCTCATTTCTTTAAGAAATAACTTCCAAGTAGCCTAAGTAAACAGTGTATTTCAGTATGAGTCTCGTGAATTACCAGAAACAATGAGTCCTTCCTAGTCCTTTCTGGGAAAAACCACATAATCAAGTATATACTGCATCATCGTTAAATGGTTACTGCAAATACTGATTATGCAACATTTAGACAATATTTTTCAAAGGTGAAAATTCCAGACTGAGCTTGGGTCACATAGTAGCTCTCTCTTTTTTCTTTTTCTTTTTTCTCTTTGCTGCATTTATCAAAATTATAAAAGAAGCTTCCTCTTTGGATCAACAATAAAATTCTGAACAAAACTGTGTCAGTTTATAGTTTGCAAATTAAATAACTAACTCTGACAGTGCTTTCCATTTAATGAAATTACACATAGTATTCCATGAGTAAATAACCTAAAATATTCTATTTCATAAATATTTTTTTGTTTTACAAACTTTTAAGATAATTGTACCTTAATTACAGTTAATAATTATTATTACAATTTCTCACAGGATAAGAAAAAATAAACTCAAATTTAGCTCCCCTGTTGAAAAAAAAGGTAATAAATTGAGCACCACTGCTCCTAACAACACCTTATCACCAAGTCATTGAGTCATTCTGCCTGCACAGTGGCCAAATATCCACAAGAGTAACCCCCAGACTCCCTCATCTCTGTTGGATGACCATTCAACATAAATAGTGACAGGTAACATTGTAAAGAACATAAAGTATATAGATCCAGAGGCCAGAAAGATTGTATAGAAGGTAGAGTGTTTTCCTTGCAGCAGCTGGCCAGGTTTTAATCCCAGAACTCCATTAAGCTCCCCTGAGTCTTGCCAGGAATGATCCCTAAGAGTTGGAATAATCCCTGAGGACTTTTATATGTGGCCACAAAACAAGCCAAAAAAAAAATGTACAGATTCAATAAGCATTATTTATTTGACTCTCTTTATTCTGTAAGGGCAGTTAGGAAGAGAGAACTTTGTCATGTCTATCTTAAAGAAAAGAAAGTTGATATCATAAACACTTGTTTATGTTATCTGCCTCACATCAACAGATAAAAGGTGGTAAATGTGTTTTCAACAGTCCTATTCAATTTCCACTGATCATACTATTTACATTGCAAATGATAGAGATAGCTGAGTTCTTTGGAAATATTAGCTTTTTCATCATTTGTGATTCCCTCAAAGGAGGAAGATATTCATGGAATGACTTATATTTAGAAACACAGAAATTACTTTGTTGAACACCAGTTAAACACAATCATAAACACTGTATACGTGCATATAATTCATTGGAGAAAACTAAATTCAATAGCTGAGTCACCATGCTCTCAAACCACTTACCAAGTAGAAGACATGCCAAATACTACACAATATGAAGCTTTGGATACTTGCCTGAGAGTATATTACTCAGATTCATTGAATTTGTTGCTGGTATTTTGCAATACCACAGCTTATTGTTCAAAAGCCAAAGGGTAATAACTCTACCTCTTGGGGTCTCTACATGGAGTCCAGTTCACTTCAGGGGCTGGGATATCCTCCAAATATGGGTAAATGGTCTCCCTTGTGAAGTCCCAGCCATAAATTCCATCTTCTGGGGTCACAATTATGTGAGCACCCTATCAAAGCAAGTGGAAGCAAAATATTCTTATAAATTCCAAACACAAAAACCCACCAAATCCCAAATATATTTTGTAATAAACCAACAAAATAAAGGGGGCGGATACCTTCCTGGCCGCCAGTTGAACTGCTTTCTCCAAAACATCGATGTTCTTGTTCATGTAGAGCAAAGCTTCTTCCTTGGAAACAGGCATTTCTGTTTTGTTTGGCAATATAACAGCATGCTCATATACTGCAGCAATAAAAGTGTCCAAAGCACCAACATTCAGAACAAAGAGGGTAAAAACTGCTGCGTATTTTGAAAAGTGTGATAGAATCATAGCTAAAATTTTTTAGCTCTTTGTTAAAACAAGACAAAATCTTATATCTTATACTGTGGGGGTTGGGGAAAGGACTTTTCATGAAAGCCATTTCTGCACCAGCTATTTATATTCTTTCATCAATATATTGCACAACAAAGCACCGAGAAAGGATGTTATGCAATAAATCTGACACCTGGAAAGTACATTGACTCAAATGGGCAGTGCTGTTGAAGCATTCAGAGGTACTCTTGTTAGTGTGGAATTAATGACACTGCTCCAATGTCCAAAATATCTCAGCTAATGTGATCTCTTAATAAAAGGATTTAATTTAAAAAAGAAATAATTATTAGGACTCCTCAGTTGAATTGAAGGCGTTAAAGTCAAATTTGTGATCTTGAGGAAAAGACACAGGGCAGAACCATAAAGTAACGTCTCTTTCATCCTAGCCCTGAGATTATATTCAAGGCTCTTTAGGAGAATGAGACCCATCATTGTTACTGGTATTTGGCATATTGGGTACGTTGCGGGGAGTTTGCTAGACTCTGCCGTGTGGGCAGACTACATTTGGTAGCCTGCCAGTTTGTCCAAAGTAGGAATGAGATAATAAGATGTCATAATAAGATGTTCGTGGCCGCGCGGTTCCGGGAGCTGGTTTTTATAGTCTCTGGGTCTTGGCCGTTGATGGGATTACACGGCGCCAGGGGGCCAGTTGGTGGGTGTGACCCCCGCCTACTGGAGTTTGGAGGACCTGCGTGGAGGATGCCCGGCCCCAATCCGAATAGGCTTGGAGATCTCGGCCCCGGAACCCGCATGACTTTGTCCCTCTGCCAGTACCTTCAGGTGTGCGGAGAGTGGTCTCAGCATGGTGGTGGCTGGTCCTGGAGGTCTTTGGCTGTCGGAGCCCTGGTCCGGGCGGGGAGGAAAGCTCAACCCGCTCCCCTCCAAGGGGCTCCAGCGAGGGCAGCCAGGCGCGGGGGCAGGAGACTGCACTCATTATTAAAAGAGTATAAAATCTGGGGCTGGAGAGATTGCACAACGGGTAGGGCGTTTGCCTTGCACGCGACGAACCCGGGTTCGATTCTCAGCACCCCATATGGTCCCCTGAGCACTGCCAGGAGTAACTCCTGAGTGCAGAGCCAGGTATAACTCCTGTGCATCACCGAGTGTGACCCAAAAAGAAAAAAAAAGAATATAAAATCCCTTAGCAAACAAGAAGTAAACAGACCTTTCTTAATCTAGTAGATTAACAAAGAACTTTATGAGCAACCATAAACTTCCTGAGTGAAAGCTTTATTCAATGGCAAAGTATTTTCTTGCCTTTGAAAGAATTTCCTGTAACATTTCTCACAAAACTGGTTTCAAAGCTAGGAACTCCCTAAGATGTTGAAACTGTGTCATACCTTCAAATCTGAATGATAATCTAGTGAAAAGAGTATTCTTGATGAGGTATTCATTTCACTAAATGTATGCTGTTATTTGGGTTTTGGTATGTGTGTGTGTGTGTGTGTGTGTGTGTGTGTGTGTGTGTGTGTGTCTGTCTCTGTGTTGGTTTTACTATATCCCACCATTGTTTTCTGACTGTAGAGTCTAATTTGATAGATCTGTTGTGAATCAGATGGACTTTCCTTTGTATGTAAGTTCCTTTTGTGATCTTGATGCTTTTTACTATTTTCTCTCTATTTCTGGCTTTTGTCACTCTGAGTACAGCATGTCTGGAGTTTTTCTGATTTCGTCTGTTTTCATTGGGATCCTTTAGATCTCAGTGCCTGAATACTTGGAAATTATTGCAATTCTTGTAAATTATTATCTCTGATTTATTTAACTAGTGGTTCTTCATTGAATTTGCCTTCCTATTCCTCAGGAACTCTGATGATTCTTATATTGTTCCCTTGATCTTATCATAGAATTCTCTATTGTACTGGTAATTTTTTTTCTAAACTTCTTTTTATCTTTTGTTGTTTACTAGACGTCTCCTGCATCTCATCTTGGAGCTCTTTAATCTTTTCCTTAACTGCTGCTATTTTGCTGCTAAGACCAAGTGTTTTGAGGGAAACTCTGATAGATTTCTATGTACTGCTCTTTTTCTTATCTACCAGTCTTCACAGGATGTTAACTTTTAAGACACAAAAATTCAATATTGCCACATACACCTGCTACTGAGAAGTAATCATCCAACTTTTTTCTGGAAAACTGAGCATTTCCTAATGTTTGTTGAGGGCGCAGCACAACCAATCCATGGGTTCCAGCACTTGGTACTTAACAGAGACTAGTTTTTTTTTTAATTACATATTTTTTTATTGAAGCACTATGAGATAGACCCCTACAAAGCTGTTTATGATTAGGTTTCAGTCACACAGTGTTTCAACACCCCTCCCTCCACTAATGTAAATTCCCAGCACCAGTGTCCCCAAGTGATGCTTGAATGCAAAGCCAAAAATAATCCCTGAGCACTGTTTGTGTGCCCCCACCCCTGCCAAAGAAGAAAAAAAAAAAAACCCTCTGCCTATGTTCATTGCAACACTAAGTAAAATAATCATGGTATTGAAACAACCTAAATAGCCAATGACAGATGAAAGGATAAGGAAGTTGTGGTATATATTCACAGTTGAATATTATATAGCTATTAAAAAGTGAAGTTCAAATTTCCTGCAACATTGGTGGAACTGGCGAGCATCATGTTACATGAAATAAGTCAGAGGGGAAAGAACAAATACCATATTATCTCACTTATCTGTGGTATAGAGAAAGACAAAAACCAGGAAAAAAGTTTTGGAGGATGACAAATCCTTGGAGTTGTATTGCAAAAATCCATATTACCCAACTGTGGGGCCAGGGGGAATAGAATAGAAATGAATAGAAGAGCTAGAGGTTAGAGGGGACATAGAGTCAGTTATGGAGAAGCTTGGGCACTTAAGTGGGGGCGGGGGGTAGCACAGTACTTTGCATATCACTCTTATCACTTTAACCTGTGAAACCAGGTTGCTTAAAAATTATTTCTTTCAAAAAATACTATTATTATTCATTTTCATGTCAGAGTTAAGAAGAAAACCATCAAGGAAAAGTGTGAATTAAAGGTCAGTGAAATGTGAGTGAGTCTGTCACTGTCACTTGGCACATTGCTGATGTGATTTACCTGTCATGTGTAAACCGGTGTGGAAATGTGCAGTCAGCAAGTTGACTCCTATACCTCTGATCCAGGAACAATGAAAAGGAGCTGCTGATCAGAGGGGTGGTGTGTTGAACTATGCCGTCAACTGAACCACCTTCACTTATGATAGCTGGGTGATAAAAAATAATGATAAAGCAAGTGAAAATGCCAAACTTTCAAAAAACAAGCATTTGTCTAATGATTAATGATACAGAGCATTTTTTTCTTGTGCCTTTTGACTATTTGTATTTCCTCTTTAAGGAAGCTTCTGTTCATTTCTTCTCTCCATGTTTTTATGGACTTGGATTTTTTTTTTTCTCGTAAAATTCTACCAGTGGCTTCTTGTCTTGACTCACCTGACTTTCTGAACAAAATGCAAAAAAAGCATGTGGGAATTCCCCTTCACTTTCCCAGTGAGTAGTGCCAGGAAACGTACCAACTTTTCGTTATGTTGAAATTGATAGAAAAATTAATAATTAAATCGGATTAAATGCCTCATCTGTGTGTGAAGAATAAACTCTGGATGTAAATTATACGTAAGTTATTTAAACAAGTTATTAGTATGTAACTTAAAATGATAGTTTGTATCTATTATGAGATTAGAAAGTTTACAGTTTAAAATTTGAATTAAGAAGTTCAATTATTTTAAATATATAAGGTATGAGTGGTATGGGGAGAAGGGCCTCTTGTCTAAAGAAAGAAAGTTGTTTTGATCACCTCAGAAGAAACTCTTGGTTGACATTCCCCTTACAGTTCCAGACTCACTTCTCTGCTCCATTTTGTACCAAAATTCCTTTCCAGGGTTGGGTATACAGTCTTAATTCTTTTCCTTCCATGCCCCCATGATTTCATCGCCATTTCAAGGTAAATGTAGATCTACACATAACTGAAATATTCACTAACTCTTAAACAAAACCTTAACAAAAAAGCTTAGCATCATTTTGACACATTGACATTTGACACAGCTAACCACTACCTCATTCTTTATGGACTTTCTAATCTTATTATTATTTTTTTAATCACCGTGAGATACAGTTACAAAGCTTTCATATGTGAGTTTCAGTCATACAATGATGGAACACCAATCCCTCCACCAGTGCACATTTTTCACCACCAATGTCCTCAATATCGGCCCCCACCATCCCAGCCCTCCTCCTGCCTCTATGGCAATTTCCCCCATACTCTCTCTATACTTTTGGGCATTATAGTTTGCTCGAATTTTCCTACAGCATTCAAGCCTGCCTGCCAGGGGAAGATGCTAGATACTTTATTTTCCATTGCTCACTTTGAGCAATAGCACAGCAGGTAGCCGACCCCAGTTTGATTCCTCCATCCCTCTTTAGAGAGCCTGGTAAGCCACCGAGAGTATCCCACCCACACAGTAGAGCCTGGCAAGCTCTCTGTGGCGTATTCAAAATGCCAAAAGCAGTAACAACAAGTCTCACAATGGAGATGTTACTGGTGCCCGCTCGAGCAAATCGATGAACAATGGGACACAGTGCTACATTTTGAATATCAGGAGAGTTTTGAGACAGCATGCTTCTGGAATTCTAAAATTGTAAATGGTTATATTCCAAAGACATTTCTGTCTCTGGAATCTCTGTAGGGTGCTAATCCATTTTGGGATTCATTTGGGTGTCTCTGGACCAAGGCCTTTGGTGTTCTGAGATGGCGCCCATAGGCAGTTGTGAGCATGACAGCCAGGACCCCAAGTGGATGAGGAGATGGGGAGGGACAGCCACTGCTGTGTGGCCTGGAGTCTTAGAACTGGAAGCTGCATACCTGGGTCTTGCTTCTGGAAGCTTGTGGCCACTGGGATTTCCTTCTGGAGAGGACGAAGAGGCACACCTGTTCCACCTGAGGTGACTGGTGGAATTGGCTCGGTTTGGGGTCTGGAGAGATCTCCTGCGAGCTGCTGTCTTCTGGGACTCACTGCTGTGTCTCTGGACCAAGGCTCTTGGTGTGTTGAGACGGCGCCCAGAGACAGATTGTCCTTTCTAACCGTATGTCTCCTGTTATTTTTCTCCTTTCTCCTTGGTCTTTGCACTTGCTTACTTCGAGTACGTAAGTAAAATATTTATTTTTATGATTCCTTCTCATAATACTTCTCATCATAAATTTTTCTGGCATGGAAACTGATCCAAGCCACCACCACCTCCATCCTGGGTCATTCCAGTACCTTTCTATATGGTTTTTACACCAATAGTGCTTTTGCATAACAGTAGTCAGGTTGGTTCTATTAGAATGTAAAACTAATTGTGTTGATTCAATAGTAAAAAATAAAATAAAAAATAGAAATGAAATAGATGTGTTATTTATCTGCATCCAAGCATTTTAGTGGCATCCAATTACCATCAGAATAAAAGTCAGGTTCTTACAAGGCCTACAAACCGTCTATATTCCAACTTCCTGCGACTCCCACATCAGCCCCTCTTGCTCCTCTGCTCGCCAGGCTTGAGTGTGCTGCTCTCCTTGATACTTCTCAGGCATGTCTCCAAGAGATCTCCCACCACTCCCAATGGATCTATTTTGATTGTCACTTCTATGGCGACCGTAACTTTAGAATTTTCTTTTCCTAATCCACATTTCAAACCACTAGCAAAGTTGCTTCTGTTCAAGACCACAGCGGACAGTGCTCAGAGCTCACTTTTGGGCTCTGTGCTCAGGTGTGACTCCTGGAGGAGTTCGGGGACTATATGGGGTGGTGGGGGCTGCAGACAAGTGCCCAATCTGCTGTACATATGAATCAACAATAGAACAATAACAACAATAAACAATGCTATTGTATTTTTTTTTTGCTTTTTATTTGGGGGGGGCCCACCCAGCGATGCACAGTGGTTACTCCTGGCTCATGCACTCACAAACTACTGCTGGTGGTGCTCATGGAAACATATGGGATGCTGAGAATTGAACCCAGGTCAGCCTCATGCAAGGCAAATGCCCTACCCGATGTGCTATCGCTCCAACCCCATAAATGCTATTGTAGACACTCTATCAGGTAAGATACAACGAATCTAGCAAAATTCACATGCACTATTTTAAGAGAATTTAACAAAGATTCTGTTAAATTGATATTGAACCTGTAATGGGAAGGAAAAAAATACTGCAGTGGTACAGAGAAAGGAATTGCAGAAAGCAGCATTATGTCTAATGTTTGTGAACAAAGGGTAGAAGGCTCCTACTTGAAATAGAGGTTTCACAGAGAAACCTTGGAGCTGAGGCTGTTTTTCTGGGAGAACAGGGATGCCCTCCAGCTCATGCTCATGAATCAGATTCTTATAAGAGGTCCACACACTGCTGGTACTTTTAATCTCTTAAAGAAGGACTGACTGACTTAGATAATTCTGAACAGGAGCAACAGGCTGGCTCTGAGGGTATAGAAAAATGCAAAATGGTAATGAACTGCTCCTAAAGCAAGTTATTGCGACTTGGTGCAATGATTGACTGCTGATTCCAGGACACAGAGATAAGAAAAGAGAAAGGAGGGCCAGAGGGATAGAACAACAGGTAGGGTGTTTGCCTTGCAAGCAGCAGACTGGTTTTAATCCTCAGCACCCCATATGGTCCCCCAAGTACACCAGAAGTGATCCCTGAGTGTGGAACCAAGAGTAATTTTTGAGCACTTCCAGGAGTGGCCCAAACTCCTCATACCTCCCCTCAAAAAACAGAAAAGAATAAACCCCCACCCCCAAAAATAGAGAAAAGAAAAGAAAATCCTCTTCTAAGCTTTCATTGGTTTTCCCTATTTGCAAGCATTAACAGGGAACCTGGTGGCACATGTGCTAAATGTTTGCCTGGTTTCTATCCCAAGTTTACAAAGAATACAGAAAGACGTGTTTAGAGTGAGGGACTAGTGCTTAAAATTGGCACTGCTACAAGCAATCCCTGAGCTCAGATCCAGGACCATCCATGAACAATGCTGAATGCTTAAAACAAACTAATTTAATAAGAAATATGCAGATAAGTATGTATAATTTTGATGCCATGTATATATAGTCCGAGAGAAGGAAAAATAGCAATAAGTAAAGATGTATATGTATGTACGCAAAAAACAAAAGATCAATATGATCAGGGATGTGGGGGGTGTGATGCTGAAACATTATATGCATGAATCCCTACCATTAACATATGGTAAATCAGGTGTCTGAAATTTAAAAGTTAAAAATAAACATATGGTAAATCAGGTGCCTGAAATTTAAAAGTTCAAAATAAAAAAAGTGAAATATCTAGAAAAAATATCTTAGGATAGAATATCTTAGGATAGAATATCTGACAGAAGTGAACCAGGAGGGGCTGGAGCAATAGTACAGTGGCTAGGGCATTTGCCTTGCATGCATCGACCCAGGTTTGATTCCCAGCATCCCATTTGGTTCCCCCCCCCAACCCCCAAACACCACCAGAAGTAATTCCTGAGTGCAAAGCCAAGAGTAACCCCTGTGCATCACTGGGTGTGACCCAAAGAAGCAAAAAGAAAAGTGAACCAGGAAATGAGAATAACAAGAATGATGTTGGAGACAAGCCTACAGCAAGCATCATCCTCAATGGGGAAAAACTGAGAGCCTTCCCTCTAAGATCAAGGACGAGACAGGGATGCCCACTATCTCCACTGCTGTTCAATATAGTACTGGAAGTACTTGCAATAGCGATTAGGCAAGAAAAAGATATTAAGGGCATTCAGGTAGGAAAGGAAGAAATCAAACTCTCACTATTCGCAGATGATATGATACTCTACTTAGAGAACCCAATAACTTCCACCAAAAAACTCCTAGAAACAATAGACTCGTATAGTAAAGTTGCAGGTTATAAAATCAATACCCAAAAGTCCATGGCTTTCTTATATGCAAACAGTGAGATAGAAGAAAGCAACATGAAAAAAACAATCCGGTTCACAATTGTGCCCCAGAAAATCAAGTACCTAGGAATCAGCTTAACTAAGGAAGTAAAGAACCTGTACAAAGAAAACTACATAACGCTACTTCAGGAAATAAAAGAGGACATGAGGAAATGGAAAGATATCCCCTGCTCATGGGTCGGGAGACTTAACATTGTCAAAATGGCAATACTACCGAAAGCATTGTATAAATTCAATGCAATCCCTATAAGGATACCCATGACATTCTTCAAAGAAATGGAGCAAACACTCCTGAAATTTATATGGAACAATAAGCCCCCACGAATAGCTAAACAATTTTTGGGAAAAAGAAAATGGGAGGAATCAACCTCCCGAACTTCAAACTGTACTACAAAGCAGTAATAATTAAAACAGCATGGTACTGGAACAAAGGGAGAACTGCAGACCAATGGAACAAGGTTGAATACACTGACATCTCCCCTCAATCATATGCTCATCTAATCTTTGATAAAGGTGCAAGTAATGTGAAGTGGAGTAAGGAAAGCCTCTTTAATAAATTGTGTTGGCATCACTGGACGGCTACATGCAAAAAAATGGGCTCAGATCTCTGCCTAATACCATGTACAAAAGTAAGATCAAAATGGATTAAAGACCTCAACATCAGACCAGAAACCATAAGGTACATTGAAGACAAAGTTGGCAAAACCCTCCATGACATTGAAGCTAATGGTATCTTCAAAGATGCCACGCCACTGGCCGAGCAAGTGAAAACAGAGATAGATAAATGGGTTATCTTAAACTAAGAAGCTTCTGCACCTCCAAAGAAACAGTGACCAAAATACAAAAACAGTCTACAGAATGGGAAAGGATATTCGCCGAATACACATCTGACAAGGGGTTGATATCAAGGATATATAAAGTACTGGTTGAACTCCACAAGAAGAAAACATCCAACCCCATCCAAAAATGGGGCAATGAAATGAACAGAAACTTTCTCAAAGAAGAAATCCGAATGGCAAAAAAGCACATGAGAAAATGCTCTACATCATTAATCATCAGGGAGATGCAGATCAAAACCACAATGAGATACCATCTCACACCTCAGAGACTGGCCCACATTCAAAAGAACAAAAGCAACCAATGCTGGCGTGGATGTGGCGAGAAAGGGACACTCCTTCACTGTTGGTGGGAATGTCCACTGGTTCAGCCCTTCTGGAAAACAGTAGGGACGATTCTCAAAAAATTAGAAATTGAGCTCCCATTTGACCCAGCAATACCACTCCTGGGAATATATCTCAGAGAGGCAAAAATGTGTAGTCGAAGTGACATCTGCACTTGTTTGTTCATTGCAGCACTCTTTACAATAGCCAGAAACTGGAAGAAACCTGAATGCCCAAGAACAGATGACTGGTTAAAGAAACTTTGGTACATCTACACAGTGGAGTACTATGTAGCTGTTAGAAAAGATGAAGTCATGAAATTTACATACAAGTGGTACAATATGGAAAGTATCATGCTAAGCGAAATGAGTCAGAAAGAGAGGGATAGACATAGAAAGATTGCATTCATCTGGGGGATATAAAGTAACAAAATATGAGATTAACACCCAAGAATAGCTGAGATCAGCACCAGGAGGATTACTCCATAACTTAGAGGCCAGCCGGGTATCCTAGAGGAAAGGGCAGTTCAGATAGAGAAGGGAGCACCAAATAAAGGGTGTTTGGAGGATCCTCCCAGGAGGGGAGATGCATGTCGAAAGTAGACTATAAACTGAACATGTTTGTCACTCAATGCCTCTTTTGCAGACCACAACACCCAAAAGGAGAGAGAGAACACAGGGGATTGCCCTGCCACAGAGGCGGGGGGGGATAGGGGGATGGGGGTGGGGGGGATATTATCCATGGTGGTGGAAAATGGGCACTGGTGGAGGGATGGGTGTCTGATCATTGTATAATCAAAACCCAAGCACAAAAAATTGTAAATCTACAACTGTACCACATGGTGTTTCACTAAAAAAAAAAAAAAGAAAAAAAAAAGAATGATGTTGGAGAGAAGTACAAGAGTTGTCTCATAATATACTCATGGCAGAAATAAACTGGGGAACAGGTTTATAGATCATATTGCACAGTCATACATATATATACATATATGTATATAAAACATTTTAATAAATATTAAATAGCTTGAAATATGCATTTTTAATAGACACAGGTTTTGTAAGGGAATTAATTCCTTGGTGCACTGGTATTTCTAAATTCTAGGCAGGCTCTTTCTCTGGTCTCAATGACTTCCCTTCTTCTACATGACAAAAGTCAGGAATTATCTTCCATTGAACTAATGCTGCCCACTTTGGATGTTGCTTTGTTTTTAAAAGTTTTTATACCTAAAACTAAGGCCACTAAATGCAGAAAGAGTAGTACCACACCTTTAAAGTCGTCCTTGATGAAGTTCACAAGGTCTTTGCATTTAGTGGCTTCTGGGGAATCAGATAAGGGCAACAAAAATGAGGAAGTGCATTTGTCCAAGTAAAACATCTTTTGTGCAATGCAAAACATTTTGAAAAGACGACACTCCCTGGCTCAATTTGAAAAGTGATTTGGAAATTTTAGTAGAATACCAGTTTGACTTGGCTGGATACCAGACTGAAATATCTTCAGGGTTTTCCTCATGAGGTTTTGTGTGTGTGTGTGTGTGTGTGTGTGTGTGTGTGTGTGTGTGTGTGTGTGTTCCTTCTTGGAAATCCTCTTTTCAATATGTAGTGAAAATGACGTCTGGAAACCACAGATTCACATCCGCATTGTACCTCTGATCACAGAAGAAAACACTTTTTTTCCATTGTTCTATCAAAAGTCCTAGGAGAAATTCTCATGGAGTTGGCTTCAAGCATTTGCTCAGCCTGGCATAAACCTGTGGCCCATATGCTCTAGTGCATTACTGAGTAAGCCAAGGCAATTGGCCACATAGCTTGTAGTTAAAAGGCATCAATCACCACAAACCCCTCTACCTGTAGCAAGTATCCTTTGAAAGAGGGCCAGAGGACAGTTGGGAGAGAGAAACATCCAACACAGGAAGCAACAAAAATGTCTGTGTAGTCTTGCATGCATGGGATCAATACATAATATGGTACATAGTCCTCCAAGTACCACCATAAGTAATACCTGAGCACAGGTGCAAGACCTGAGCACTGCCAGGTGTGGCACCTAAACCAAAAATAAATTAAGAAATAAAATTACTGTCACTGTCCTCCTGTTGTTCATTAATTTGCTCGAGCAGGCCCAGTAATGTCTCCATTGTGAGACTTGTTGTTACTGTGTTTGGCATATCAAATACGTCATGGGTAGCTTGCCAGGCTTTGCCGTGGGGGCGAGATACTCTCAGTAGCTTGCCAGGTTCTCCGAGAGGGAGGGAGGAATCAAACCCTGGCTGGTCGGGTCGACCATGTCCAAGGCATACACCCTACAGCTGTGCTATCACTCCAGCCCAAGAAATAAAATAAATGAATAAAATAAAGTTACAGTACCTGAGTATAATTTCTTATTCTCTTAATCACTAACTTTTTGTGTTAGGGGGTAATAAAGTTAAATTGCAATGATAGCAAAATAGTTTGTGTTTATAAAGACCTTCAAATTTCCTGACATTTATTCCATTGGTGGGTTTTTAATACCTCTTTCTTAGTAATTTTATTAAAAGAGGAGAGAGAATGTCAGAGAGATAGTATATTGAATAAAACTTTATCTGCTGACTAAAGTGTAATCCCTGAGCACAGAGCCAGGTAGAAACCCTGAGCACCCCCATGTGAGCCCAAAACTCAAAATAAGAGGTGGGGGAAAGATGGTAATGCTTTTGACAGAAATGCTTTTTTCTGAAGCATTCAATAAATCCTTTTTTTTTTTTTGAAGGTAATACTTTTTCCAGATGAACGATAAAGCCTAGGAAGCAAAAGAAAGAAAAGAATTATACAGTTCAAGCTGTTGGCTTAGTCTTTACCTCCCCTAACTCTCGTATTCTTCCCTTTCCACCTCCTTCCTGCTACAGAAGATCTACCCAAAATCTCCTGCAAGAAAGGCATTTACTTGGGCTGGAGAGATAGTATAGCTGGTAGGGTGCTTGCCTTGCACGAGGTTGACCTAGGTTCAGTACCTAGCATCCTATGTGGTCCTTTGAGACTGCCAGGAGTAATTTCTGAATGCAGAGACAAGAGTAAGCCCTTAGCACTGCAGGATATGCGCTTCCTGCATTTCTCCCCTCAACACACACACACACACACACACACACACACACACACACACACACAAGCATGCACTTTACCATTGAACCACACACCCAATATTACTTTGTAATTATTTATTTAAGCTGGGGAGGGGGTGTATTACTGGGATGCACTCCTGGCAGTGTCTGGGGATTATTCCCAGCTCTGTGCTTTGGGATTTCTTCCAGAAATGCTTTGGTTGCCACACAGTGCCACAAATAAAACCAAGAAGGTTATATACATTTCAATACTTTTCAGGTTAAATTAAAAAAGATGAAAAGTAGACTCTTATTTACTCCACCAGGCTCATTATGACTAAAGAATTAGCATGAAATTTTAAATTGAGACACAAATTTGGCTGTAACAAGAACTGGACTCTGATGTTACATACTTTGGAAATGAAAGAATGATATCTTGGGTTCATTTTCCAAAAAATCAAGGCCCAATTAAACAATACTTGAGTTGTATGATAAAATAAAAGGTGTGTATGTAAATCCCCCCCAGAAAAAATGGTTTTAAACATTGCATTACAAGCAATTTTACAATTGAGGTGTTTCCTTTTGCTTTAGATTTAATCTTTTCCTTCTCTGTCTTGTTTTTACTTTTAATGAAATGAATCACAAATAAGCTATAAGTGTGACTCAGAAGAATTTTCTCTTAGGATTTGTGTGAACCTTCTTTTACAATCAGGCCAACTGTCAACATTTTAACTTTGGTAAACAAAGAGTCCTGATATACACATTACAAAGTTATTGTGTTGAGCTTCCTCAAGGAAAACCTAGCAAATTTGAAATGTCTCATATTAATTAAAAAGAACATATGATTTTGGTGATTATGTGGTCTGACCTGTTTGTAAAATGAACATTCATATGATTTTGGTGATTATGTGGTCTGAACTGTTTGTAAAATGAACATTCACTACCATCTCTGATGTCTCAATGTCGAACAATGTTGAACATAGGGAATATATAAGCTCTTCTCAAAGTTAAAAACAAAACATGGCTAAATGGCCAAATTCTTCTCTTCAGAGTAACTACTAAATTATAAGCAGCCCTTATTTCCTACTTCATTTTAATAGAGAAGTTAGATTAAATCTATAAGAACATATACACAATATATAAAAGCAAATATGAATTATCCCTCATTTTATTAATATCAAAATAGACAAGTAGTTTAATATTAAAAATATATTATCTAAAAATGTAGTAATTTCTTAAATTTTAGGTTATCCGTGTTAAATGATGAACAAGAAATACACTCATATATTTCAAGAAGCATGAAATACATTTTGAAAAAAGTAAAAGACCCAACGTTGATAAAAAGTTTTACATTTAGTCATAGACTGTGTGTTATAGGATATGTGCCTATTAAATTATCCTATAGCTTCAGTAAGACTGTTAAAACACTATGAGTACCTTGAATCAGGCTTCATTTCATATGCACGTGGACTGTCTGTCATTCTTTTAAGTATATCTCAAAAGAACTTTCACTTTTAATGTAAGCTTCCACATTGTCATCTAATTGGAAACAACCCTTTCCTAGCACAGAAAACTAGATAAGTTCAAGTTCAAATTGCTTTTGGAATTTAATCATAAACTCTTCGATTTTCAGGGTCAAAGGATGGGACAGGGATTAGGGCACGTGACCAACCACGGTTCATTCCTTGGTACCATGTTCTTTCCAGAATATCTCTGGGCAAAATCCTAGAAGCCCCTGCACATAGGAGCTTAGTAGCACTACGTCTTTGAGCCCGAGCTCTGAACTTCTGATTCAGTTGGCCAAGTACCACAAGGCATGGCCCAGGGGCCACTAACCACCACCTGGGAGGCCATTAAAACAAATAAATAAATAATTCTCCCAATCCACATAATTACTATTTCTTAAAAGGCAGCAATCTTAACACTGGTTCTGAAACTCTTGTTTTCTCTCAAATATAAGCACACTTAGCAAATGAGACTTGAGTTATGATTTTATTCTTATTTTCTTATTTTTTAAACCCAAGAATCCATTATACCACAATAGAACATTTCAGAATAATCAAAAAGTGTAGAAATTACCAAATTTTAATAATTCTTTAGAAGAAAACATATATGTGTTCAAAAATCACTGGTTTATACTAATCAGAATGCCTTTCAAATTTTCTTTCAAAATTTCTTTTAAAAGCTTGGAAATCTCAGTAAATACAATCAGTAAGCACAATCAGTAAAATACATGATGCAAAATATAATGCGATAAAGAGGTGTGACAGACTATTGCAGTGCTTTGCAAAGTTTTGTCATGAAAACTATAGATACTAGGAGGTAAGTATTTGCTGATTTGCTGTTTCCTCCTGAGATGGAAAGTGAATCCTTAGCATACCATCTTCCAAACAGTGACAGTGTTAGTATGGGCTGGGATGATCCGTTCTTGTTTACCAAACGCCCATCTTTTAATACCTAAAAATAAGTGGGAAAAGTATTCTCATTTAGCTTGTAACATAATTTTTTCTAGACTCATTTTCAATCATACTGCATAGCATTGTTTTATTTTTATTGAATCACTGTGAGATATAGTTATGAAGCTTTGATGTTTGAGTTTCAATTATACAATTATCGAACACCCATCTTTCCACCAGTACACATTTTCCACCACCAATGTTCCCAGTATCTTCCCCTCCCACCCTTCCCCCTGCATCTATGGCAGACAATCTCCCCCATACTCTCTCTTCAGTTTGGGGCATTATAGTTTACATAAAAGATATTGAGAGTCTATCATGATTGGTCCTTTATCTACTTTCAGCACACATCTTCCATCCTGAAAGACCCCTCCAACCATCATTGATTTAGTAATCCCTCCTCTTTTCCAGCTGCCTTCTCCCCCAACTCATGAGGCAGGCTTCCAACTACAGAGAAGTATTCCTGAAGCTTATCTCTACTGTCCTTGGGTGTCAGTCTCATATTACGTTATTTTATATTCCACTATTGAATACAGTCATTATATGTCTGTCCTTCTGTTTCTGACTCATTTCATTTAGCATGATACTCTCCAGGACCATCCACTTATAAGAAAATTTCATGACTTCATCTTTCCTAAAAGCTGCATTGTATTCTATTGAGTAGATAAAACAAAGTTTCTTTAACCAATTGTCTGTTCTTGGGCACTCCGGTTGCCTCCAGATTCTGGCTATTGTGAACAGTGCTGCAATGAACATACAAGTGTAGATATAATTTTTACTGTGCTTTTTTTCCCAGAATTGGTACTACCGGGAATATGGAAGCTCAATTTCTAGTTTTTTAAGGAATGCCCATATTGTTTTCCAAAAAGGCTGGATCAGCTGACATTCCCACCAAACAATGAAAGAGAGTTTCTTTCTCCCCACATCTGCACCAGAATTGACTGTTCTTGTTCTTTTTGATGTTGCTCATCACTGTTGATTGAATATTTCCAGACAGACTGGAAATAGGCATGCAGGAATAAGGAACAAGCAAGACAGGGAGGGAATAGCTCCATAACAAAGAACAATGTCATTCTAAGGCATTCAACATTTGAGTTTCAACTATCAAATGTAAAAACTAATGAAAAAGTCAAACTTCAGGAACAGGGAAATATTACTCAGTCTATTAGAAAGAAAATCAGGACCTAGACAATGAAAATATCGTTTAAAATTCTTAAAACGTAATAGTGAAACTAGGTCTATACTAAACATAAAGAAATGAGTATGTTACAGCCAGAGTGATATTACAGCGGGTAAGGCACTTGCTTTGCATGGTTCAACCTGGGTTTGAACCTTGGCACCCCATAGGTTCTGTGAGCCCACCAGAGTGACAGAACCAGGAGTAAGCCCTGAGCACCGCTGGATTTGGCAAGAAAGAGAAAGAGAGTGAGAAAGGGGGAGAAGGAAGAAAGGAAGGATGGAAGGAAGCAAGGGAGGGAGGGAGGAAAGGAGGGAAGAAGGGGGAAAGGAGGAAGGGAGGGGGGAGGGAGGAAGGGAGGGGGGAGGGAGGAAGGGAGCGAGGGAGGGAGGGAGGGAGAGAAAGAGATAGAGAAAGAATGAAGGAAGGAAGGAAAGAAAGAAAGAAAGAAAGAAAGAAAGAAAGAAAGAAAGAAAGAGAGAGAGAGAGAAAGAAAGAAGGAAAGAGAGAGGGAGGGAGGGAGGGGAGGGAGGGAGGGAGGGAGGGAAGGAGGGATAAAAAGAAAAAAGAAGTGAGAATGAGAGAAATGGAAAAAAGAGAAAATAAAGAGGGAGAGAGGAAGAGAGAAAGAACAAGAATTAGAGTTCAGAGTGTGGGTGCACACAGGTGCGTTTAGTGGCTCAGAACAACCTCCCAGTTTTCCCCAGCAGAGAAACAGAGATGGGGCCCTTATGGACAAATGATAAAAATGTCCTATTTATGCAGAACTGTTAGCATACTTATAGAACATCTGAGGGGGTTCAAAGTATAAGACTGTGATTTATCATTTACAGAGGTAAAGTCTTTCAGCAGAGGTTATTCTCTTGGGGGGATTAACTCAAGGACACATTCTGTCTCCCAAGGACATATACATTGCTTTCCTCTTTCCCTTTAGTTATATATCTATTGTCACTGGCCTCCTGTTGTTCATCAATTTGCTCAAGCAGGCCCAGTAACATTTCCATCGTGAGACTTGTTACTGTGTTTGGCATGTATATTAAACAATTAAATTTACTTTTTATTAGTACTGGCAGTTATTTGGATAAACACAGTAAGAGATATACATCCCAAAACTTAGTTCTCTGGGCTCTGAGGGCAAGCAAGGCTTTTACCATAAATCCCAGACTAAATCCTCAGACTGGTTCAGCTTGTGCTTCCCCACCAAGTCCTGTCTCTTAAGTCATAACAACTTGCATTAAGATTGTCCTTTAATGCTAGCTAGATAGTCCATTTTGATACCAGGGTAGCTTTTCTGCTTGTCTGGGTTCATCCTAGTCCCAGGGCAGGACATCCCTTTGTGGGGTGTTAGGAACTATGGTAATTGAAGCCTGAGTCAAGTAATTATGACAGATGCCCAAGTGTAGATACATTTCAGAGTCAATCAACTCCCTAATATTAGGAGCATAGCATTAGTGGTCTTTGTGTGTTTAAGCAAAGAACATTGCTCTATAGCAAAATATGAACAGACTATAAAGGAAATAGAAAAGTAAGTAATTCATTTAAAATACAAAGTCCAGAGTTACCAGAAAGGTTTATTTATAAGTAACCAGGACTGACTTGAGGGGGCAGTGACTATGAGAGGTAAAGGACAACAGAAAGGTTAAAGATAAACTCAGGAAATTAGGGATGCTCATAAGAGCACTGTAAGCTTTTCTGGGATGAGGAAAGGGGGAAATTCACTGATAAAGCTTAAAACACTTAAGGTTAATATCGAACAGAAGGAGAAGGAGGAGGAGGAGGAGGAGGAGGAGGAGGAGGAGGAGGAGGAGGAGGAGGAGGAGGAGGAGCATGTTAATGTATAAGATTGGGAAAGAGTTCCGAAAAGGGTAAGTTAGCGAGGTCTTCTTCCCAAAGCAGGACAGTAGCTGAGACAGAAGATCTTGTTTTGCACATTGCAGACCCTGATTCAATCCCTGGAATCCCGCAGTTTCCCTAAACCCACCAGAATGATTCCTTGGAACAGAATCAGGAGTAAGATCTGAGCACAGAGTGAGGCCCAAAAAACAAAAAATTAAATTAGAAAGAAGAAAACCGGCTGGGGGGCCCCCACAGATCCTGGTGAATGCTCCAGGTCCCAAACAGAGCCAATACCACTGGGAGGTCCCAGATGGGGTAGGTGCTGCACCCCGCCTTCTCCAGATGGAACCATGATGACCATGAGCCTGCAAGCGGGTACCAGGACATTCTTTTCAAACTGCAGTGGGCCCGCCCTGGCTTCCAGGCAACCTCTGATTCTGGAAGTCACGCCCACGACCCGCCCCCCAGTGCCATCTTACAGCACACAACAACAAAGAAGAAAACCGGCTGGGGGGCCCCACAACTCCTGGAGAATGCTCCAGGTCCCAAACAGAGCTGATATCACCGGAAGGTCCCAGATGGGGTAGGTGCTGCACCCCGCCTTCTCCAGATGGAACCATGATGACCATGAGCCTGCAAGCGGGCACCAGGACATTCTTTCCAAACTGTGCGGCCACTTATGCAGCCGCGTGACATCTCCTTATATACAAAGTGATCAATGGAAAGTAAATCATCCAACATTTCTCCCTGAAAATCAGACTTAACTCTTTTGCAAACCACAACACCCAAAAGGAGAGAGAGAACTGAGGGGAATGCCCTGTCACAGAGGCAGGGAGGGATGGGGGGGATGGGGGTGGGAAGGATACTGAGATCCGTCGTGGTGGGAAATGGGCACTGGTGGAGGGATGGGTATTAGAAATAAATAAAAAAAAATTTTTTTAAATTTTTAAATTAAATTAAAAACATTGAAACAGCAAATGTTCATTCTGAGACAATTATGTGGCATATCTTAGACAATCAGCTTTTTCAGTCTAGTGTGTTTAGAATCAGTGGTGTGGTAGAACAATATGTTACCTCACTAAACAGAGTAAATGTATAGATACTAGGACTGGAGAGAGAGTTTCTAGGTTAAGGAGATTGCCTTGCCCTAGTTTGAATGTAGACAGCCTCAGTTTGAATTCCCAAGGTGTTACCCCTGAGCATAGAGCCAGAAATAAGCCCTGAACAATGCTGAATGTGGCCCAACCCTTGTCTTACCCATCTACCACTCCATCACCCCCCAATTTTTTCCAGGAATTAAAAAAACTGATTTATTTAATAGCACTGTTCTTTTTTTTCTTTTTGGGTCACACCCGGCAATGCACAGGGGGTACTCCTGGCTCTGCACTCAGGAGTTACTCCCGGCGGTGCTCAGGGAACCATATGATTTGCTGGGAATAGAACCTGGATCGGCCCCGTGCAAGGCAAACGCCCTACCCACTGTGCTATTGCTCCAGCCCCAATATCACTGTTCTTGAAACAGATCTTTATAGAAATATTTATACCATTAAAATGACTAAATACTATTAGTAATGGTTTTTCCTTTACTTTCCCAAAGAGGGTGAACTATTAATAATTTACTTCACACCAAGGGTGAGAGCTAAATATTAGTGGAGAGGAGAAACGTGATGTTGTCAAAAAGAAAAGTAGGGATCAGAATGTAAAAGTCATGAATTACTAGCTGTACTGTGGTGTCACAGGCTTCTCTGTAAGAGAGAGGCATACTGAAAGTAAAGGAACAGAAGGGAAAGAAATACCAATCATTAAGTGATAAGTGATTAAAAACTACAAATAACAATAAATAAAACAAGAACGAAATAAAATCAATTCATCCATGACTGTTTGAAGGATAATTGGGGATGGAAAGCTTGGAAACTGAGAAGATACTTTATAAGTAGAAAAAAACTAAACTAAATTTCCTAGAAGACAAATATTGTGGTGATAATATATATACTAACACTGACAAGTTGTCAAATACGAACTAACTGTATTGTTAAGTGAACAAAATTTTTGTTAATTCAGTATTCATTATTAATTCAGTATAGAATCTTCATTGCTTCAAAATAGTTGTTTGAAATTGATGGAACACAAATAAAATAGAGTATTTTTATACATTCTTTTTAAAAAAAATATCTATATGAGCCAAGCAGCTAAAATTCATGAATACGCTGGTATTGTGAATAAACACTCTGGAACGTTCTTGGGGAGGGGCAGGCAGAGTCCCTTCTCTGCAGAAGCCCAGACAGATGCACCCACCCATACCCACTGCTGTGACCACGCCAACAGCCCAACATCACAACTTCACTAAGAATCTCTGCATAGTACTAAACCCAGCTCTACAGATATTGAAGTTTTTGGACTGAGCAAGCATGCCTCCAAATTCCACAGTACTTAAATTCCAGTAGGAGCACACCAACCTAGATAAGAAAACATAAAAGTCAACTAAACTCAACAAATAAAAACAATTAACAGAAGGTTCAACAAGTGATGGGCAGTTTAGTAAATTTTCTCACAGACTTAACAACCTCAGGGCTGGAGCGATAGTACAGTGGGTAGGGCCTTTGCCTTGCACGCAGCTGACCCGGGTTCGATCCCCGGCATCCCATATGATTCCCCCAGCACCTCCAGGAGTAGTTCCTGAGTGCAAAGCCAGGAGTAACCCCTGAGCATCGCAGCATCGCTGGATGTGACCCAAAAAACAAACAATCAAACAAAAAAAAAGACATAACAACCTCATAATGAGACATAACAGTTTTCACAAATTTTCTTTTTACTGAAGTATTTTTATAATTCTTTTAGCCATTATGCTGTAATAAACAATAGAAAACAAATAAAACAAATCATTGTATGTCTGCTAAGTGGGAAAGGATGAGGGGGTGGTTGGGAAAATGGGGACAGTGGTGGAGGGGTCACTCAGGTGGTGTGATTAGTGTTGGAAAATTGAAAGCCTGTAACAGTTGTATTATGAACAACTTTATAAGCCATGGTATTTATATAAAGCATTAAAAAAAGTTATTCATGTTTAAGTTTCAGGTATGCAATCGCTGTCATCCCATTGTTCATCGATTTCCTCAAGCAGGCACCAGTAACGTCTCCTTCATCCTTGCTCTGAGATTTTAGAAAGTGCCACATTCAAGGCTCTTTCAGGGTCAAGAGAATGAGACCCATTATTGTTACTGGTTTTTAGCATATTGAATACGCCACGGGGAGTTTGCCAGACTCTGCCATGCAGGCAGGATACTTTCAGTAGCCTGCAGGGTTCTCCAGAGTAAGAACTAGATAATAAGATATCATTTCCAGGAGCTGGATTTTATAGTCTCTGGGTCTTGGCCGTTGATGGGATTACACAGGTGCTGGGGGTAGTTGGTGGGTGTGACGCCTAACTACTGTAAAATGGGGGATCTGGGTGGAGGAGGCCCAGTCCCGATCCGAGCAGGCTTGGAAATCTAAGCCCCGGGTCCCGCACACCTGGATTCCTCTGCCGGTTCCTTTATGCGTGAAGTATACAATATTCCAACACCAATCCCTTCACCTGTGACTGCTTCCTTCTACTTCCTTCCTTCTACTTTCTTCCACCATTGTCTCTGGTTTCCTATATGGCAGGCAATCTTTTTGTTTCTATTTTCCTCCCCACCACCACCTCCCTTTAGAAACTGTTTTACAATTCTATTTCTGATAGGGTATCATGGATATCCCTTTACTTCCTTTCAGGACCCTGTCCTAGTCCAGAAGGATAACTTTCCTCTACCACTGTCATAGTGGTCCCTTTCCTGACCTATGCCATCTCCCCAGCCACCAGTGGCAAGCTTCCCACTAAAGACCAATTATCCTGTTCTTCACTTCTATTGCATTTTGGCATTAGTTATTCTCTAATCATGTTTCTTTATATCCTGCATATGATCATTTGTGTTTCTTTGACTCATTTCATTGTCACTATCACTGTCCTCCCATTGTTGATCGATTTGCTCGAGAAGACCCAGTAATGTCTCCACTGTGAGACTTGTTGTCACTGTGTTTGGCATATCAAATACGTCATGGGTAGCCTGCCGGGCTTTGCGGTGCGGGTGAGATACTCTCAGTAGCTTGCCTGGCTCTCCGAGAGGAGTGCAGTTATTGAACCCAGGTCAGTCGAGTCGGCCCCATGCAAGGCAAATGCCCTACTGCTGTGCTATTGCTCCAACCCAACTCATTTCACTCACACATTTTACATTTTGTATGCCCCTTAACTTATAGATGGATGAAATTTGGATGAAGTCAAACACACATTATTTTTTGTGACTTTTATAAAAATAGTAGTTTGTCTATTTTTTTTTATCATTTTGGGATTAGTTATTTTAGAGAAATATTCATATCTCAGAATCAAGTTATAATTTAGAAATTTTACTGGTTTCCTGTTAGGCATTTTTCTAAAATATATTACAAAATTTACTAATCTTTTATGAGATTTATACTGAATATATCTCAACTATTTTAATTATTCCCTTAAATTTTTATCTTCTGAAATCACCTGTTGAACTCTAAAAATATCACACCTTCATGACATTCTAACATGCTATGTTTGGTGTGGGAGCTTCTCATTCCTCCAGTTCATCTGCCCATACGTGACATCATACTGACACAATGTTCAGACATGTGATCTGTTTCTGGCAACATTTACCTCCCAGCTTAATAACATAAACCTTAAGTAAATTCTTCAGTACACATCCTGATGCTTATTTAATGCCTTGTTTTCATTATGAACTCATAGAACAAGTGCTGATCCATAGCTTAGACTCTTAATAGGACACACCAATGGAGTTTCCTTGTATGTTATTTCATTGCTCTCTAGCTGACGGAACAATTTCTCAAAACAATAATGACTTTTATCCTTCTTGGGAATTTCATCAGCATCTGTTTCTGAGAACCTGTTGAACTTTAGGACTGCTCCCGCTGAAGATTCTGCACTATTTTTTTCTCTATCCTTTGCATCAAAATTGGTTACATGACTTGCTCTGAGATATGGATATTCTCAAACATGATACAAGAAGAACTTTCAGCATAACTTGTCCACTATAGCTCTGCCTTTTGATGTTCTTGGATTCCTTCCATTAAGCTCCAATTGCTGGAACATGCTAAACTATAGGGAGACAGTGATATCTCAGCTGTCAAAAACAAAGATAACACAAACTAGCCAGTCCCAGACACCTCCACCAGCTAGTGCTGCTGCACAGAGTATCACAGTCAGAATCACCTAGGCCAATTCTAAACCAGGGAATCTAGCTACATCCAGGTCACCATGCCAGCCACAAAACTGGGAGGAAAGAGATGGTGATAACATAAAGCCATTAACTTTGGAAGAAGTGTGTTACATAGCAAAAACCTGATAGAATCATCATCATCAATTTGAATTTGTCTCAGAAAACTGACAACAGGGAAATACTCTTAAAATTCTACTACCTCAAATTTTCCAGGTGACAGATGAAACTCGGTAATAAGCACTTCAGGAAAAACATATTCTGTGCCAAATGTGCCACTTAAGGAGAACATTTCAAAACGTGTCAAAGCAGTTTCTACTGGCTGTCCACAAGTTGTTGAATTCAGAGTTTTGCATTTCAGCAGGGTGCATACCTGTGTAGAACAGAGATAGACTAGTCATGCCTTACACCTCATTGCTTGTACGAGAGTTTCTTGTACCATAGCAAATATATTTTCCATTTGATAAAAAATGGCTTACATGATTATCTGATCTAATGGAATGCAAATGATTTCACACACACACACACACACACACACACACACACACACACACTCACACACACATCCTACACATTTACTGACCTGTAACTAAATACAAAGAAAGAAGTCAATTTTAAAATTAGAATTAAATCATTATTCTGGTATATTCGTTTGACCAAGAAAGTGGAAGCCTTTAAACAACAGTCATACTAAAACAAAGAGGAAGATTAAAATCTTCACAATGGTTTCCCCCTCCCCATATCTTTTTCTTTAGGAGAAAGCAGTGGGGGGGAAGAGCAAATTAAGATATAAATGCATGCTTCTAAAGCTTGTATTTTTAAAACTTACTACCAGAAGCACACTGAACCATTAGCTACAAGAGAAAAGAAGATAAAAGCATCCGCATTTATTGTTGATTTTCAAAGTTAAAACAAGATTTTATGTTTAGATATATTGGTAAATCCACTTAAAGAAGTTTTTAAAATTCTCACTAAAGTATGTAATGTAGTTCTTTAACCAAATATAGAAGGATCACAGCTAGGTTATTTTGCTTTGTTTTGCAGCCACACCCAACAGAGCTTGGGACTTATTTCTGGCTCTGTGTTCAGGGGTCAATCCTGGCAGTACTCAAGGGAAAGAGATCTAATCTGAGTCAGTCACATGTAAGTGCCTTAAACTATGTACTATCCCTCCAGTCCAGTCAGTTTATATTTTTGTTTATTTTGTTTTTGGGTCACGCCCATCTGTGTTGAGGTTTTGCTCTTGGCACTGTGCTCAGGTTTCACCCATGGTGGTGATCAGAGGATCAAACCAGTACATGCAAAGCAAGTATAATTTCTCTGGCCCTTAGGATAATATTTTTAATGTCCTCCAAAGAAACAAATTATAACTAACACCATTGCACTTATATGTTCTGATTAAACCCAACATTGTGCACATGAAAAGGATGAGTGAGAGAGAAAAAGAGAGTTCGATTGGCATTGTGTGCAGTGATAAAAAAGGGAAAACAGTTGGTTCCCAAAGACAGATATTGCAAGTTCACCAGGAAGTTATTGATACCTAAATACTCCCTTTCACCTGAGCTGAGATTACCTGCCAGTATTCACTTTTCCTTCTGCCATGAAGTCCTGTAAAAGCTCCAAGAACATACACTTCATTCTCTTCTTTTTTTAACATTGCGTAGCTTAGATGACAGCAGAGCTCTTTGTGACACACTGTAAGATTTCCTGTATTTTCAAATAGTTCTGTGAAGTTGAACTTATCCCTAGAAACAAATCCCCCAAAAGTTTTCTTTACAGGAAATGGTTTGATGCTGCTGGCATAGGCAGTCCAATTCACAGCAGGTGGGTAGACAGGAGACAATCGGGGATGCGAATCTACCTCTGAAAAGAGGAGCCTTCCCAGCTCGGTTTTCATGTCATAATGGTACGTTCTGGGAGAGTCTGGTGCATAGATTCCACTACCTGAGAATCATAGAATGTCTTAGAAAGAAAATCAAAACCATTTACTAGTTTCCCTATCATTAGGCATGTAGGCATATCAATACATCAATCACAACTAAAGAGCATGTAGGTTTCTAGTTCATTTATCACCAAAGTACTTCCCATATTCTCTATTGCAGGAGATTTAATATATATGTCTAGGGCCTGAGGACACAGCTCAGTGGTAGGGGACCAGTTTCTGGATAAGAGACCATGAGTTCAATCTCTACACCATCTCACTGTATCACTGTATCACTGTCATTCCATTGTTCATCAATTTACTCAAGAGGGTGCCAGTAATGTCTTTATTTGTCTCAGCTCTGAGATTTTAGCAGCCTCTCCTTACTCATCTTTCCCAATGATTGGAGGCCCTTTCAGGGTCAGGGGAATGAGACCTGTTATAGTTACTGGTTTTGGCATATCGAATACGCCACAGGGAGCTTGCCAGGCTCTGCCTGTGCAGGCGGGATACCCTGAGTAGCTTGCTGGGCTCTTCGAGAGGCATAAATATATATAGAGAGGTAAAGGTAAAAGGTAAAGGTAAAGGCCCTCCCGTTGATCGTCGATTTGCTCGAGCGGGCCCAGTAACGTCTCCATTGGAGACTTTGTTGTTACTGTGTCTGGCATATCGAATACTCTCGGTAGCTTGCCGGGCTCTCCGAGAGGGGCGGAGGAATCGAACTCGGGTCGGCCATGTTGGCCGCTTGTAAGGCGAACGCCCTACCGCTGTGCTAAGAAAGAGAAATATATAAATATATATACATATATATTTCTCTTCATGACCATCTCCTGGGTCATAAACTCCTAGTTATAGCAGCAAGGGAAGAAGAAAATATAACAAATAATTGAAAATTAAAATGCTGTTGCTCCTTTAACCACAGTTTTCTAGGCAAATACTTATTTATTGCAGACTTAAAATAAAACAAAATAAATGTTTGATGGTCTAACTTCAAATTAATTTTGAATATAATAGGATTACTTATTACAGTTAAGGAAGATTAAATCAAAGATAAAATGTTTATATTTAGCAGTTTTTGAAAGGTAGAGGAAGTTGACACAAAATTCTGCCTTTGCTTATCACTTTGGCAACCACAAATTCTTCAATTCTTAAACACTCTTTTTTCGAATAGGTAGGTTTGTTCCCTTTCCCTTTGCATGAGAGAGAGAGAGAGAGAAAGAGAGAGAGAAAGAGAGAGAGAGAATATCTTTCTCTTGTCACTTGTCTGGAAAACCAGTTGCCATGCTATGCCAGGCCATGAAGATATGTAACATAGACCTAATGAAAAAACACAAGCAAATAGAGATGAAGAATGGGGCTGGAGGGTAGGGCATTTGCCTTACATGCAGCCGAATTTGTTCCCCGGCATCCCATATGGTCCCCTAAGCACTGCCAAGATTAAGTTCTGCATGGGGAGCCAGGAGTTACCTCTGAGCATTGCTGGATGTGACCCAAAAAGCAAAAGAAAGAAGAAATAGAGGTCTCCTTTCAACAGTCACTGAATGAGGGACCAGACCATTAGCCAGGTGAGTGAGCCAGCCTAGAGCAGAACTGTTACCCTACAAGCCTTCAGTTAACTATAAGCCCAGAAACTAGCTGGAAGCAATCTGAAGAGACAGCCTGAGTTAGCCACACCCAACTCATATACTCCTAAATCCTGACCAACATGAATGAAATGACTGGTAGCATTGTAGGACTGTAGCACTGTCCTCCTGTTGTTCATTGATTTGCTCGAGCGGGCCCAGTAACGTCTCCATCGTGAGACTTGTTGTTACTGTGTTTGATATATTGAATACGTCACGGGTAGCTTGTCAGGCTTTGCCGCGCGGGCAAGATACTCTCCGTAGCTTGCTGGGCTCTCTGAGAGGGGAGGAGGAATCGAACCCGGCACCGCCGGGCCAGCTGAGAACAAGGCAAACACCCTACTACTGTGATATTGCTCCAGCCTGAAATGACTGGTAATGAGTGATTATTGAATTTAACAGATTACTATTTTAGGTAATCTCCTGCTTCCGCTGCTGGCTGTCCTCACAGGGGCCCCTTGGAAGATGGTGGGCTGAGCTTCCCTCTCCACCTCGAGCAGAGCCCCGGCAGATGAAGACCTCTGGTTCTAGCCACAGTCATGCTTAAGACCACTCTCCACACATTTGGATGAGGCTCACTCATGAAAGAACCTGCAGAGGAACTCAGGTGTGCGGGACCCGGGGCTTAGATCTCCAGGCCTGCTTGGATTGTGACTGGACCTCCTCCACCCAGATCCCCCATCTTCCAGTATGTAGGTGTTACACCCACCAACTGCCCCCGGCACCGTGAAATCCCACCAATGGCCAAGACCCAGAAACTATAAAACCCAGCTTCTGGAAGCACACAGCGGTATTCACAGCCACTCGACATCTTATTATCTAGTTCTTACTCTGGACAACCTGGCAGGCTACCAAAAGTATCCTGACCATGCCGCAGAGTCTGGCAAACTCCCCGTGGCATACTTAATATGCCAAAAACCAGTAACAATAATGGATCTCATTCTCCTGACCCTGAAAGAGTCTCGAATGTGGCACTTTCTAAAATCTCAGGGCTAGGATGAAGGAGATGTTACTGGTGCCTGCTCGAGGAAATCGATGAACAATAGGAAGACTGTGATACAGTGATACTATTTTAGGTCACTTTTATTTTTTATTTTTAGGATAATTTGTTATATGGAAACATATTAATAATATATAATTATATAATATAGTATAGACTATACAATTGCAATATCTTATAATACTATTATAATTCTATAAACATACAATTATATATAATTATATTAGAGAATTAATATAATTAATCTATAATTGTATAGCACAGCGGGTAGGGCATCTGCCTTGCACGCAGCCAACATGGTCGACCCGAATTCGATTACTCCGCCCCTCTCGGAGAGCCTGGCAAGCTACCGAGAGTATTCAATATGCCAGACACAGTAACAACAAAGTCTCCAATGGAGAAGTTACTGGGCCCGCTCGAGCAAATCGATGATCAACGGGAGGGCCTTTTACTTTACTATTATATAGTTATATTGCTGATTACATATAATTATATATGTAATATAATATATAATATATTCCTTTGCCTTTTGCCAGTTTTAGAGCACAACTTATTTAGTTCCCAGCTTTGCTTCTGGCTTAGTGACCTTTGATACATTACTTGCATTCTGGGTTTCTCAGCTTTCCAGTCTACAAATGGGAGGACAATGCCCATGTCATATAGTGGCTAGGAAAATAAATATAATTGAACACAAAGATTTGTCTTAATACAACCAGAGCCATTGTATTAAATAAGCACTATCTTAGATTACAAACATAGGGGCTGGAATGATAGCACAGTGGGTAGGGCATTTGCCTTGCACTTGGCTAACCCAGGTTCGATTCTCAGCACCCCATATAGTCCCCTGAGCTCCGCCAGGAGTGATTCCTGAGTGCATGAGCCAGGAGTAACCCCTGTGCATCGCTGGGTGTGACCCAAAAAAAGCAGAAAAAAAAAGAAGTTACAGAAAGAAACAAAAAATTACAATATGCTATACCTGAGATAAAAGATGTCTTTAGAGGTATCTGCCATATTTTGAAGTATTACCTGGTCATGAATTACCTGTCATATTTAGCCTTGTATGATGTGTATTGGCCACAAGAAGATTAACTCTCATTCCCATGGCCCAAGCTGAATGAAATTCAATAGCTGTCAAAAGGGGTAAAACATTCATCCAAGCTGTGGGGAACAATATAGTGTCCACGTGGAGATCTTTCACCAGAGTAACAGCAGGATCATGGAAGAGTATATCAAAGCACGTGAAAATACCAAACTTTCCAAAGGTGGTATTGAAAGTCACCAACTCCGGCATTTTAGGAACATCAAACTGTGGCTCAGAGTAGAGGTGGTACTGGAACAAATGTGTTGGGAAAAAACAAAACAAAGTAGAAAAGTCTTGTTTATTGTTAAAGTGACCCTCCAAACTTAATACTAGTTTTGACTGCTATGGTCACCAGTAGCAATCTATGAGAAGAGAATGAAGGTGGCAATTAAAAGTTAATTTCTAAGAAAATTCTCATTTGTCTTTCTCTCCCCTTTATCCAGTGAGTTCTCTTATCTCTCTCTCCTTCCCCTAACTCCCAAACACTCTGCGCATCTTAAAAAGCTAGACCAAACAAGAGTCTCCTTTGATTCCCCGATCCTAGTTCCACAAATATTAATCAGTCGAGAGGCGTCACCTTCCTCTTTAGACTTCGGTACATGCAAAGAGTTTTCACAGCAAAATAGCAATCAAAAATGAGTGTTTTTTTTTATTCAATTACCCCACATATTTTCCAGGTAAATTGAGAAACTAACCTTGTCTAATCTAATAATAAGGATAAACACTTCAATAAGACGACCTACCATACAAGGAATCCTGAAAGTTATAAAGAAGACTATTGAAACTTCTAATTTTATTTTCTCTGTGAAAAATTAAAAACAGCTTTAACTTTACTGAAACTTACTGACAAAGCCATTCTTATTAGGTACATATCTCATGGGTCACGGGTAACAAAGAGTCCCAAGGTGCGAAGTGAGAATAAATGGCCCTCAGTTTGCTTGTCCACATTTAGTGCACTGAGTCTTCTTACAGTTCATTTTGCTTTGTAAACTGTTTGCCTATGCTACTAGTTTAACCAAACCAACATTTTTATAATGGAAGAGTAAAAATTATACTTGCAAGATAGGGGCTATGCATATTTTTGATGAGGGAGACCAGACTTCAGCCTGATACCACAGGGTCCCCTTGAGCACCACTAGGAGCTATCTCTAAGCACTGAACCAGAAGTAGCTCCAAGGTACCACCAGCTGTCACCCCAAAATCCCAAATACTAGAATTAGAACTGTATATAGTAGAATTTAGAACACATCTTTGCATGAGAATAGTCCTACAATACCTAGGTTGGATCCCTAGAAACTATGGCTCAGAAGCCAGAGGGAAAAAAATATCATTGGAATGTGTAATATTTGTTCAAATTAGTGCTCTTGTATTTTTCAGACAATTAGTCTGAAATAAAGTAAGTTAATTATGACATTTCCATTCTTAATGTTTGGAAGCATCTTCACACCATTTTCCAGAGTGGTTGCCCTAATTCCTAGGCCCCATAACAAACATATGAGCATTGCCCTTTTGCCATATTCTTACCAACACTCATTATTTCTTGTCATATATATATATATTCTTTATATATATATATATAATAGTCAAATTCTAACAGGTCTATTGGTTTGCATTTCCCTAATAAGGGGTAATAATTATCTTTTCACATGCCTGTTTGATGTTTGCATGTTGATTTTGGAGAAATATCTGTTTCGATCCTCTGCCCAGTTTTTAATTGGTTGCCATTTTTATACCTCTGCATTCATTTCAGCATTTTTCACAAAAGTCCGGAAATGAAAACAACTTCAGTGCTCACTTAAAGATGAATTAAAAATTAAGATTGTGCATATACACAATTAAATACTACTCATCCATAATCAAACAACAAAATTAGACCTTGTAATTTGCAACAATATAATTTCAACTATGAGGGTATTTATTATGCTAAGTAAAATAAACCAAGTAAAAAAACCCCACAATTTTACTATGTAAAAATCAAAGAAGTAAAGCAAAAATCTTAGATTCAGAAAACAAATTAATGTAATCAAAGGGAAAGGTGGATAAGAGGAGAAATGTACATAGAGTTTTAATTAAATGTAATGTATGGATCTGACTTTTGATAGTGATTATAACATGGTGTGTAAGGCCCATAAAATCATGTCCTCTGGTACATTACAGGAAAGACACATGTGGTTCTTGTCAGACTCCCCATGATCCCCCTGTCTGTAATGTATAACCTATGAATTATGTTATAAATGTCCAATGGTCCTTGATAATATCGTTATAAATGTCCAAATGGTCCTTGGCTGAAAAATGGCACCCACTTCTGTAATGTTATTTTAATACCTTTATAAATAAATAATATTAAAAATGCAAACACTGTTTCACAAACAAGAAAAGGAATAGCTGACATTTCTACTTCCAGTATGAGACACATTTTTGAAGACATAGAAGTTTAGCTACACATTTTTTTAAAGTAACCAAAGCTCTCAAAGTTGTGAAGAAAACATTTTAAAAGTTGTATGTGCAAGACCATAGACATAAGGCACTTGCCTTGCATGCAGTAGACTTGGCTTTAATCCCTCCTATATTCTCCTGAGCACCACCAAAAGTGATCCCTGAGCTCAGAGTCAAAAATAAACCCTATGCCCACTCTCTCCACTGCTGTTCAATATAGTACTGGAAGTACTTGCAATAGCGATTCGGCAGGAAAAAGATATTAAGGGCATTCAGGTAGGAAAGGAAGAAATCAAGCTCTCACTATTCGCAGATGATATGATACTCTACTTAGAGAACCCAATAACTTCCACCAAAAAACTCTTAGAAACAATAGACTCGTATAGTAAAGTTGCAGGTTATAAAATCAATACCCAAAAGTCCATGGCTTTCCTATACGCAAACAGTGAGAGAGAAGAAAGCAACATGAAAAAAACAATCCCATTCACAATTGTGCCCCAGAAAATCAAGTACCTAGGAGTCAGCTTAACTAAGGAAGTAAAGGACCTGTACAAAGAAAACTACAAAACGCTACTTCAGGAAATAAAAGAGGACATGAGGAAATGGAAAGATATCCCCTGCTCATGGGTCGGGAGACTTAACATTGTCAAAATGGCAATACTACCGAAAGCATTGTATAAATTCAATGCAATCCCTATAAGGATACCCATGACATTCTTCAAAGAAATGGAGCAAACACTCTTGAAATTTATATGGAACAATAAGCCCCCACGAATAGCTAAAGCAATTCTTGGGAAAAAGAAAATGGGAGGAATCAACCTCCCGAACTTCAAACTGTACTACAAAGCAGTAATAATTAAAACAGCATGGTACTGGAACAAAGGCAGAACTGCAGACCAATGGAACAGGGTTGAATACACTGACATCTCTCCTCAATCATATGCTCATCTAATCTTTGATAAAGGTGCAAGTAATGTGAAGTGGAGTAAGGAAAGCCTCTTTAATAAATTGTGTTGGCATCACTGGACGGCTACATGCAAAAAAATAGGCTCAGAACTCTGCCTAACACCATGTACAAAAGTAAGATCAAAATGGATTAAAGACCTCAACATCAGACCAGAAACCATAAGGTACATTGAAGATAAAGTTGGCAAAACCCTCCATGACATTGAAGCTAATGGTATCTTCAAAGATGCCACGCCACTGGCCGAGCAAGTGAAAACAGAGATAGATAAATGGGACTATCTTAAACTAAGAAGCTTCTGCACCTCCAAAGAAACAGTGACCAAAATACAAAGACAGTCTACAGAATGGGAAAGGATATTCACCGAATACACATCTGACAAGGGGTTGATATCCAGGATATACAAAATACTGGTTAAACTCCACAAGAAGAAAACATCCAACCCCATCCAAAAATGGGGCAATGAAATGAACAGAAACTTTCTCAAAGAAGAAATCCGAATGGCAAAAAAGCACATGAGAAAATGCTCTACATCATTAATCATCAGGGAGATGCAGATCAAAACCACAATGAGATACCATCTCACACCTCAGAGACTGGCCCACATCAAAAAGAACAAAAGCAACCGATGCTGGCGTGGATGTGGCGAGAAAGGGACACTCCTTCACTGTTGGTGGGAATGTCCACTGGTTCAGCCCTTCTGGAAAACAGTATGGACGATTCTCAAAAAATTAGAAATTGAGCTCCCATTTGACCCAGCAATACCACTCCTGGGAATATATCCCAGAGAGGCAAAAATGTATAGTCGAAGTGACATCTGCACTTGTTTGTTCATTGCAGCCCTCTTTACAATAGCCAGAAACTGGAAGAAACCTGAATGCCCAAGAACAGATGACTGGTTAAAGAAACTTTGGTACATCTACACAATGGAGTACTATGTAGCTCTTAGAAAAGATGAAGTCATGAAATTTACATACAAGTGGTACAATATGGAAAGTATCATGCTAAGCGAAATGAGTCAGAAAGAGAGGGATAGACATAGAAAGATTGCATTCATCTGGGGGATATAAAGTAACAAAGTATGAGATTAATACCCAAGAATAGCTGAGATCAGCACCAGGAGGATTACTCCATAACTTAGAGGCCAGCCGGGTATCCTAGAGGAAAGGGCTATTCAGATAGAGAAGGGAGCACCAAATAAAGGATGTTTGGAGGATCCTCCCAGGAGGGGAGATGCATGTCGAAAGTAGACTATGGACTGAACATGTTTGCCACTCAATGCCTCTTTTGCAGACCACAACACCCAAAAGGAGAGAGAGAACACAGGGGATTGCCCTGCCACAGAGACGGGGGGATGGGGGGATGGGGGTGGGAGGGATATTATCCATGGTGGTGGAAAATGGGCACTGGTGGAGGGATGGGTATCTGATCATTGTATAATTGAAACCAAAGCACAAAAAATTGTAAATCTACAACTTTAAAAAAAATAAAATAAAATAAAGGGGAAAAAAAAAAAAAAAAAAAAAAAAAAAAAAATAAACCCTGAGCATCACTAGGATTCTCTGAGAAAGAAATAGGACAGTCACAGGAGCTATATGCATTACAAACACACTTAAGAGGTCAGAGTCTCTCTCTCTTTGAGGAATTTAGTGGAAAATTATTGTTTTAGGTAATTTTAACTCTCAATTAAGTTTATAGTGTGTTTGTTTGCAAACCTAGGGCCTCAGATATGCAAGAGCTCTACCACTGAACTATATATCTGGCCACACTCAGCTGAGTTAAAATTTCATAATTTTATTTTTTAAAATTTAAGAAAGGAATTAAATTAAGTGGCATAGAAAATAAATAAGACCACCATTTAGTGATTCAATAGAAAGAAGCAAAATTAACTTCAGTAAAATCAGGTCATTTAATTTGGAAACATTTTTTTCCATTGTTTTATTATTAAACTATACAGATTAGCTTACTTTAGTAGCTTTTATCAATAATTAAAGTTTTTGTTTCATATATGCAAAGAGTTATGTCATTTTTGAATGCAAACAGCATCTTTGTAACTGAGTCTCACTTACATTTTTATTTCAGCTTAGTTTTCTCTAAAACGTCATTTTCAGGAAGACATGATTATTAACATAATGAGATCCTAGTACAAAATAAAATTGAATGCAATATACTTAGATTCAGAGTTGAAAACTCAATTATGTAAATAAGAATGTTACTGTTACTGTTACTGTCCTCCTGTTGTTCATCAATTTGCTCAAGTGGGCCCAGTAACGTCTCCATCGTGAGACTTTGTTGTTACTGTGTTTGGCATATCGAATACGTCACGGGCAGCTTGCCAGGCTTTGCCATGCGGGCGAGATACTCTCGGTAGCTTGCCGGGCTCTCCGAGAGGGGCGGAGGAATCGAACTCGGGGTGGCCATGTTGGCTGTGTGCAAGGCAAACACCCTACCCGCTGTGCTATCGCTCCAGCCCATAAGTAAGAATAGACATTTTATTATATTGTATTAAATTGTTTTAATTTCCTTATTTACATAGGTTAGAATTATTAGAATTATTAGTAATCACAAATTGGCTACTACTGATTTATCATCTGATCATTCTATTTGTCACTTCTTAAAGTTTTGTAGAAACAAGCAATATAAACTAAGGAGGTATGTTCGGATTGGGAGGGAAATTGGGGACACCGGTAGAGGGAAGGTCACACTCATGGTGTTGGAACAATATATGCTTAAAATAACTGTATGATGAGCAACTTTGTAAATTACGGTATTTTTGATAAAAATTTAAAATTAAAAGGAATGTCTTCTTCTCCCATTGAGCACCACCAAGATTGTCCAAAAGAATCTTATTCATCCAATTTTAACTTCTTACTCCATAAGAGCTTCATCCCACAAAGTATAATATTATCATTTTCATTAATATGCTTTTATTTCCTTGATGTACATGTATTAGTATCGGGCAATAAAATAAAATAATTTAATGTAAAAATAATTTAAATGTCTTTAATGTTTGCTCTAGAAAAAAATCTCTAATAACCTTGTATAATAAAGGCACTGAAGCTCAGACTCCTAAGTAGAGCATTCACTCTATCACAGACTTGATTTCGTTCATCCACCCCTCTTACCTTATGGTAGCGTGCCACCAGTTTTCCTTCTGTGTCATACACCACGTTGGTGTTGTATTGGTAATACCCATTTGGAGGACATGTAGACTCAGAGGACTTGCAAGGCTTTTTGTCCCCAATATTTGCCACGACATAGATAGAGTTATCCTTGGCCAGGCAGCTGAGTCTTTTTTGTACTGGTGTGTAACCAAATCTAAATCAAATTTTAATTAAGACATCTTAATAAGAAAAAATACTGTATGATATCATATACAGTGAGTATATAGAAGCCTGACTCACAGAGACATAACAGATAAGTTACTAAGGCCAGAATTGTGAGGAGAATTGAACAAATATAGTTTAAGGATACAAACTAGCAACTAATAGATAAATAAGATTTGGAGATCTAAGAAATAACATAGTGATCTTTGTTAACAGTAATCTATTACAAACTTCAAAGTTGCTACAAATTTTAGTCAATTAAGACTTAATTCTTACCATTAAAAAAGTGTGATGAGACGATACTAGTAGTCATATTAAGATATAATGAGCAGCAAATCAACACGTGTGTACTCTAACTTTTCATAATATTATCCAACAACAAAATTTAAGAAAGATACTTAAAATTAAAAATATTTTAATCACTCCATTCAAAAATAATAACAATAGTAAAAGCCAAGTAATTTAAGCCGAGCCTGGCAAGCTACCCGTGGCATACTCGATACGCCAAAAACAGTAACAATGATGGTTTTCATTCCCCTGACCCTGAAAGAGTCCCCAATATGCCATCAAGCTACACTAGCATGTGACAGGGATGAATGGAGACATTACTGGTGCCCACTCAAGCAAATCGATGAACAACAGGATGACAGTGATACAGTGATAAACACTGATAAAAAAGAAAAAGATGTTTTTGTTTTTATTTGTTGGGGGGGTACACCTAGCAATGCTCAGGGGTTACTCCTAGCACTGAACCTGGGAATTACTCAACTACTCCTAGAAGTGCTCGGGGGGACCATATGGAATGCTGGGAATTGAACCCCTATCTCTACAGACCCTCCTGCCAACATACTTAATAGTTACAAACCTCTCTATCAGAGCAGTCCATCAGCAACCAAAAACGCCTGAGAAATAGGACAGACAAAAAGACATCTGATTTGCCTGGTGCCTGACCCAGGCGCAATCCCTTGCACCAGTATGGTCCCCGGAGAGCCAGTAGAAGGGATCCCTGAACACAGAGCCAGGAGTAAGCCCTGAATACAGCTGGTACACATTGAATGGTTGAACGAATGAAAAGATGAATTGTTAAATGAACTACACTAGATGGCCATGAAATTATGTTTTCTGTAAAAATATGTTCCTTTTTTTCCAGTACTAAGAAATGAAATATAACTCTCCCCTAAAATTTGCCAGTTTCTATAGTTATTGTTATAATTTACACATCACGTTTATAGCAAACCCAGAATTCAATCCTATTAGCTGCTGAGAAAAAAATGGCTTGTCTAAATTCTCTACTAGAATGTATACTTACTGTAAACATAGACAAGTGTTTTAGGTGCCTAAATAATTTAATCTTCAACCTGTATTAAACAATAGTATGTGTACAACACACTTGTATTATGAACTATTTTATATTAAATATTCTTTTATGTTTTTTTATTCTTGGGAAAGTTAGCTTTCTGAGCTTAGTAAAATGCTCTGCTTCAAAGTATAAGATCTTAAGATTCACTAGAAAGTACATGGAAAGGGAAGTACTTTCTTCCTAGAAAGCAAATTCAGGAGCTGAGATCCCATGAAATTGGCACAGGTATCTTCAATAGGGACCTTGGAATATTTTTCAAACACAGAACACTGTCCATTTCAGAAATTAACTTAATAGTTAAACTCATGATATATTCTCTATCCCTTAGTTCCTAAACCTACTAATAAATATTGTATTTGCATATTTTCTCAAGATTTTAAAATTTTCAAACATGATTGCTCAAAGATATGTGTGTATGATATTTTAAGAGTCTCATTCTGTATCTACTGAGCTATCAGGTGCTTTATAAGCACAATATTTTAAATCTAACAAATGCCAACATAAGTATAAAAACAGGATATATCATCTAAATATTCCTCTGGATGTATCATTTTATGTGGTAAATGGGCACATTTTAGAGAAACACAGCACTTTGTCCAACGCGAAGAATTCAAATACCTTTGTGGTTCCTGACACGGAATCCAGTTCACCTGAGGGTCTGGAATGTCCTCCAGATATGGGAAAACGGTTTCCCTGGTAAATTTCCATCCATATAGTGCATCTTCTGGAGTCACAATGATTTGAGCATGCTGTTCAAAGAAACAGGAATCAAAATAGTTTTTCAAATTAAAACTCACCAAGTAAAATAAATTAAATAAAATGTTTAAAAATGACTCTGTGTGACTGGCCCACATTCAAAAGATCAAAAGCAACCAATGCTGGCGTGGATGTGGCGAGAAAGGGACACTCCTTCACTGTTGGTGGGAATGTCCACTGGTTCAGCCCTTCTGGAAAACAGTATGGACGATGCTCAAAAAATTAGAAATTGAGCTCCCATTTGACCCAGCAATACCACTCCTGGGAATATATCCCAGAGAGGCAAAAATGTATAGTCGAAGTGACATCTGCACTTGTTTGTTCATTGCAGCACTCTTTACAATAGCCAGAAACTGGAAGAAACCTGAATGCCCAAGAACAGATGACTGGTTAAAGAAACTTTGGTGCATCTACACAATGGAGTACTATGTAGCTGTTAGAAAAGATGAAGTCATGAAATTTACATACAAGTGGTACAATATGGAAAGTATCATGCTAAGCGAAATGAGTCAGAAATAGAGGGATAGACATAGAAAGATTGCATTCATCTGGGGGATATAAAGTAACAAAGTATGAGATTAATACCCAAGAATAGCTGAGATCAGCACCAGGAGGATTACTCCATAACTTAGAGGCCAGCCGGGTATCCTAGAGGAAAGGGCAGTTCAGATAGAGAAGGGAGCACCAAATAAAGGGTGTTTGGAGGATCCTCCCAGGAGGGGAGATACATGTCGAAAGTAGACTATGGACTGAACATGTTTGCCACTCAATGCCTCTTTTGCAGACCACAACACCCAAAAGGAGAGAGAGAACACAGGGGATTGCCCTGCCACAGAGGCAGGCGGGGATGGGGGGGATGGGGGTGGGGGGATATTATCCATGGTGGTGGAAAATGGGCACTGGTGGAGGGATGGGTATCTGATCATTGTATAATCGAAACCCAAAAAAAAAATGACTCTGTGCAATAGTAGGGAAGGTAGGCCATTTGCCTTGCATGGTGCCAGCTAAGGCTCAATCCCTGGAATTCCATATGATCCCAGAGTACAGTCAGCAGTAAATCCTGAGTGCAGAGCCAGGAGTAAACCCTGAGCACTGAGGGATGTGACTCAGAAATAAACAAAATTATTAAAGATCCAGGTACAGCTCAGGTGTCACATGTCTGCAGTCCCAGGATTGATTGCTGGCACTAATACAAATTAAAAAATATTTTTCTCTCTATGGGCTTGAGCGATAGCACAGCAGGTAAGGCGTTTGCTTTGCAAGTGGCCAACATGGCTGACGGAGTTCGATTTCTCCACCCCTCTCGGAGAGCCCGGCAAGCTACCAAGAGTATCTCGCCTGCACGGCAAAGCCTGGCAATCTACCCATGACGTATTCGATATGCCAAACACAGTAACAATTGTCACAATGGAGATGTTACTGGGCCCGCTGGAGCAAATCAATGAACAACGGGAGGACAGTGACAATTTCTCTCTATATTACATTGGCATTCAATTGCTTCCACCAGTTCTCATGTACCTCCCTCCCACAAACTGGTTAACAAAATGAAAGTATACCTGCTTAGCGGCCTGCTGAATTGCTCTCTCCAGGACATCTATATTTTTGTTCATAAGGAGCAATGCATCATTCTGAGAAACAGGTGTTTTGGTTTTGTTTGGTAATATGACAGCATGTTCATATACAGCAGCTATGAAAGTCTTCAGGGCACTGACATGCATGGTGAGTAGGGTCATAATAGCTATCAGTGGTTTTAAAGAGTAAATGATCATGGCTAAGGTCCAATGATTTCTGAAAGCAAAACCAGCATTCAGTTATTACTGATAGGAGGAGGAACATTAATACAATATATGACTGCCAACTTGAATGCTCTTACTTTACAATTTCACTAATATATTATGATTGACAACTTTAGAAGGTAAAACATTTCTGTTCAGTAACAATAAAAAATTATTATAGGATGGATCAGAAAGATAGTACAGCATGAAAGACACTTGCCTTGCATGTGACTGACCCAGGTTCAATCTCCAGCATTCCATAAAACAAAATGAAAATGGAATATAATATAGAAAAAGTACAACAGGTTTTATTGCTAAGTCTTCATCTCAAGTATTAAAGTATTAAAATTATCAGTATAATTTTACCATTTAATTAGCGTTATTGATTTATATGCAGGACTATGCCCAGTTATGCTAAGGATTTACTTCTGTCTCTGTGCTCAAGGATCACACCTGGCAATGCTCAGGGAACTATATGGTGCTGGAGATCAAACCTGGGTTAACCAGGTACAAGGAAGCACCCTACTCACTATACTGCTACTTTGGTCCAACTGTACCTTTTCATTAAGTTAAAAGTAAAAAAAAGTAAAATTTAGCACCCCTGTGAAAAAATCAAGACATCATTGATAACATTTTTTTTTTTTGGTAAACTACAAAAACTAGAAAATAGATATTTTTTTTTCTGTTCTGGTGAATGATTTGCATCATAATTATTTTAATGATAAGAAAATGTAAACATTTACTATTAGGAGTAAACCCTGCAAATCAAAATGAGGAACAAAATTCACCCAGATCAACTTTAACTTACTGATTAAAGATAAAGATACGTGTGCTCCATAAAAATCAGAACATTGTGTCAGATTTGTTCCCTGCTGTATCCCTAGATGCTGTTTTCTGGGATTTGATCAGGAGAAATCATGAACCTCTGCTAAGGGGGCCCCAGTCTTCAAGGGACTATTATTCATTCTTCCCTTCTCCTAATCTTCCTTCCCCCTTGCTCTTCCTTCATTCCCCCTTTCTCTTTTCCTCCTCCTATTTCTCCTTCCTTTGTCCTTTCCTCTCCATCTCTTTCCTTTCTTCATAGATAGATAGATAGATAGATAGATAGATAGATAGATAGATAAATAGATAGATAGATGGACTGGAGCAATAGCACAGCGGGTAGGGAGTTTGCCTTGCACGTGGCTGACCTGGGTCCTCTCAGAGAGCCCAGCAAGCTATCCAGAGTATCCTGCCTGCTCGGCAGAGCTTGACAAGCTCCCGGTGGTGTACTCGATATGCCAAAAACAGTAACAAGTCTCACAATGGAGATGTTACTGGTAACTACTCGAGCAAATCAATGAACAACTAGAGGACAGTGCTACAGTGCTACACACACACACACACACACACACACACACACACACACACACATGCACGCACGCACACACACTACAACCTCTTTAAAACCTCCTAGGACATCTGTAAATCTCAAAAAAGAGAAAAGAGGGGTCTGATGGGCCTGCACAGGCTGAACTCGAGCTTTTGGTGGCCAAGAGCTACCTTCCCAGGCCGAAGGATGGGCAGCGAACAGGTGACAGACCGAGGAACAGGAACCCAGACCCAGGGCTTGTCGGCAGTCGGTTTATTTCTCTCTTCTCCCCAGTGTCATCCGATCTCTCCCCTTACACCACAGTCGTAGTCATAGTTTTGAACATAGTCTCAAAGTCCCAAAGTCCCAGTTCTCCTTGTCTTCAAAGTCTCGTCATTGACTTTCTGGTCTCCAACATTTCTGGTCCTCAGCGTCTAGTATTCAGCATTTCTGGTCTCCAACTAGTCTAGTATTCAGCATTTCTGGTCTCCAACTTTCTGGTCCTCAGCGTCTAGTATTCAGCATCTCCTCCCAGAACCTAGTCACCTGAGTCTAGTCCACTTCTCCTTCACATCTTGTTCCCTAACAACTACAGCACATCTTGTTCCTCTTACCCCTTAGAGCACAGTTATATGGAAATCATGAAGGATGGGGATAAAAAGGTGGGGTTGAACATTATCATAACAATAAAGAGGTAAAGTCACTCCTTCCGGGTATTAACTCAAGGACAAATCTCATCTGAGGGTTCAACACTTCAGATTACTAGAAGATCTGCTCAAGGGCTGGATTCCATTCAGGGTGTATTGCTTTCTCCTTTCCTCAGCTGTTTCCATTTAAACAGTCATAGTAAATTTACTTCTTATAATGTTATAATGTTTCTAGCAATGTCATTTTGTATGAACACAGTGAGAGATATATTAAGCTTAAAGGTTGGCTCTTCCTGAGGACATCTCGCTATAAATTCCAGACAACAGTCCTCAGGCCAGGTTAGTCTTTCCAAACCGCAGGGTCCTTATCCTTTTTGGGTCATGATAGAGTTTGTCCATGAGCATGTTCTTAATTTATAGATAAGTATTATGGTGCTTGGCCCACAATCCCAGGGTAGCTCATGGCTTGCCCTGGGTCCATGCAGTCCCTCATTGGGACCCTATTATCAGAGTGCTAGGAACAAAGGGCAACTGAGGCTTAAGATAAGGAAATATGAAAGACTGGGAGTAAATGTTATTTTTGGAGCCAATTAACGCCCATGTTACAAAGCATAGAATGAACTGTCTTCCTGTGTCTACACAAAAAGGACATTTCTAAATAAACTATGCAAATTACATAAAGGAAAAAGGAAAGCACTACAGAATTAAGTTGGGTGTGCCTCAGTTGCACTCTTGTGGAAGTGGCTCAATAAACCTAAGTTATCCAACAGACATGATAAATGATCACTTGATATAGATGATGTTTAATGAATATTTTTAACTTTCATGTCTATAAATATAATTTATCTATAATATAATTTGGATCATGGTCTACTCTTATTTAACCTCACATTAAAATGTTTTGTTATGTCTTTTGCTTGGAAGTGTCCAAGTTGATGATAAGTTTATAATCTTTACTTTTTTAGGGATAGGAGCCAAAACAATAATATCTACCTTTCAGATCTTAGTATCCTCCAGGTTTTCCTGAATATTTTCTCTCTTTGTGACTAAAAAAGAGATAGATCACTTGAATTAAGGTGTAGGTTTTTGTTTTTGTTTAAGTAGAAAGGAGAAAGGGAAATAGCTGCTAATATAAAGTTAAAATGAACAAGTTTCCATTCGACTCTGAAATTTTGAAAATCTGTTCCATATAAACTGGGAATCTGGGACTGGAGCGATAGCACAGTGAGTAGGGCGTTTGCCTTGCACATGGCCGACCCTGTCAACTCGAGTCAATTCCTCTGCCCCCTGGGAGAGTCAGGCAAGCTACCGAGAGTATTTCGTCCACACGGCAAAACCTGTCAAGCTCCCTGTGACGTATTTGATATGCCAAATACAGTAACAAGTCTCACAGTGTTACTGGGTCCACTTAAGCAAATCGATGAACAATGGGAGGTCAGTGACAGTGACAGTAACTTTAAACTGGAAATCTGAACAGCAAAGGCAATTGCTTGAAATAAATAGTCAGAAACCAGTGAATAAATAAACAATTTAAATACAGAAAGATCTGAGGTCTGGGAACTAGCCCAGTGGGCTAAAACTCATACTTTACATTTAGGGGCTCCAGGTTCAATTCCTGGAACTACTTTGTTCCCCCCATCACCACTTGAAAGAAACTTCAAGCACTGAGCCAGGAATATCCCCTGAAGACCTGTAGGTGTAACCCCCAGAAAAATAATAGAAATAACAATATGAAGTCCTTGAAAAATAAAGAAAAAGTGAATGATCTTTACAACCTTGTCATAGATGCTCTTGATACTGTTTTAAGTATGCAGAAGTAAAAGACCAAAGGAGAGAGAACTTCATGAGTTTAAATGCTCATGTTCATAAAGTTGATTAAGTAGGACTGGACTTCTTCATTTTTAACTCAGCGATAGAAAATTTTACTTTACTATCAGGAAAAGAGATTAATTACATTTCATTGCTTACAGACCCCAACATCCTAATTTACCATTTTGTGTTTATTTAGCTTTGTTAAAAGGTTATAATCAATTCAACATTATTTGATCAAACAGTTACTTTTTTAAAAAAGAGCACTGCTCAAATACTTGTCCCTTGCTTATACAGCTACTACAATATATAATTATCAAAGATTATGAGATTCTTATTTTCTAAGATTACCTCCTAGAATAATGTGCAACCAGGCTAGGTTTGAAGTCTATTGTAAGAAAAGTAGAAGAGAGAGCTGCTACTTTGTGGTCCACATTCTTAACCTCTATTCCTCATCTAAAAATTCAGGTATACATACCTTTATTGCCTTCAAAGTTCACTGTGAAATTCAGAAACACATGAGAGTCTTCTGTAAGATTAAAATAGAATTATAATCATTAACAAAAATGGATTACAATTTGCTAATATAGTAATCTTTTCCTCTTAATATTATTTAGTTAGTTATATGGAACTGCTATTTTTCAATTAAATAAATTTAACAGCTTTAGGTGCTCTTCTGGGGAGTATTTGGAGACAGAATGGAGAGCAGTTACCTGGGCACCAATCCCTAGATCATGATGAGCTGGACATGGTAGTCGCTTCTGAGTAGGGAAGTAGACATCAGCAAGGACACCGAGGAATCAGTCACAGCTTGCTGAAGAACAGCTCCTGGGGACTTCCTGGTCTGGCCTCTCTACCAGAAACGAAACGCTGAGAAGTGGAGCATTGAAAATGGCACGTACAATGTTTGACATTTCCTCATACTCAAAGAAGAAACAATAAAATAAGAAGCAAATGGGTGTGCGTGTGTGGAAGGGGCGGGGGGCGGGGGGGCGGAACGCAAAGAACCAGCAAGAGAGAAACAGGAAAAACTTCATACTTTAACCAAACTAAAAA